ATATATATATATATGTAGTAATAATGTCACTTTTTGACTATGCTACTATAATTTTACTATTTTAAAATATGTGCATCAGATCGAATCAATCTGCCTCATTGTCCTTTGGATGAAAATTTAATGCAATCATCAGTTCGTCGAAGTAACAAGTGTTCAAACAAATATGCTTGTATAATAAAATAGTCTTATTTTACACATAAATATGAAATTTAATGGCAGATGAGAAAGAGCCTTGCTTACGTTGGTAAAGCTTTTGACCATGCAACGTTCAGTACCATAAAAACAAAACAAAATAAACACACCAAGGGCACAGATTATCTCAAATATGTACACAAAATAACAATACCATTAGCTCGATCTTGTATTTTACAGCTAAAGTTGTACCATCAGTCCAGCACATTAAGATGTGTACAGGTAGCTCAAAGGGAGATTTAGGTTACTGACTGTCATAAACACTACAAGGTCATCAGAAGTTTTATGTTGTTGTTTGTTTAATACACCATTCAAATATAGGATGAAAAAATAATATACTCCAAGATTTTTAATAATTATATACATATCCATATAGATTAAATACTGATCATTCTGAATCCCTGGATTGCTGAAAACCTTAGTTGCTTTAGGCAGCAAGGTAACAAACGCCAACACGATAAGGGCTGCTAAATTTCACAACAGAAAAATCATATTATTGTCATCTCTTTAACTATTTAGCTTATTGTCTTGTATTGTGGACAGAGGATCATCCACACATTCATTTTAGCTTGTGTCAGAAAGATTTTTGTTATACCTAAATGAGACCATGTAGCTCAAGTTTTCACACTAAGCTAAAACTAGCATGGCAAAACTATCCTCTCTTACTGCAACTTATTTCTATTTACCAAAAAAATGTGTCCAAATCCCCATCTAATAAGAAATCAATTATATTAAAATAGCTATTATAAGCTTGCTTGACCTTAAACATGAGAGATGTTTAATAAGAAAAACATCATGTTTTTTTCTATTCATCATTAACCATTTTCTCACGTAATACGAATCACAAGTTCTTTTTTTTTATCTCTATAAAGAAGGACGACATCACTTCCTGCCTTATAAGTGCATCATTGTTGTATGATATTTTTATACCTCGACAGAACAATTCTCAGTCGTATTGAGAAGGAAATCAACATTAATAAAAGAAAACGTTTCTCCAAAAACTTAAAACAGGCAGTAAAATATGGCTACACTGGAACAATTTGACAACACCTTAGATTTTGATATTAAGACCGGTTTCTGTTTAGTTATTCATTAATTATTCTCTGCTTATTTAACGTTATTTGAATGATAAACTGAATTTTGCTGCATTGCTTGGCAGCCAAGATCAATTGGAATGTAAGGAATTCACTTGGAATCAGTCTGTATGATTCAAATTAACTATATAAAGTGCCTTGAAAACTATACTGTGAATTGGCGCTTTATGAATAAATCAAATTGAACTATTTTTTTGTTAGATATCTGGGTGTTCAGATCAAATTTGAATGTTGCAACTACATTATCCAGCCAACTTTATTCACTTGCAAAAAGACTGACACTCATTCTAGCACTTGATTCTGAAAGCATCAAGAGTGTAGGAAATTTTTAAGGTGTAGCGCAGCTTAGTGCAAAAGGAGGTGGGTTTTTACCTGCTGCAAATTTTTTTTTTTTTTATTGGAATCCATGATTATGTCCATTAAAGCAGTGCTGTGTAACTTTTAGCCAATAGGGGCGCTAGACCTGTAACTTCCTAATGTAGCACCCTATACTTTTTCTTTTTTTTTTCTGTAAAGGTCCCACTCACCCCTCTAGATTATATCCTACATCCGATAACTAAATATATGTCTGATCAGTAAAGCATTATATCTATTTTGCTGCCAAAAAACTTTTTAGGGTTAGCTCTCATGTTTAAGAGGACTGCTGTAAAGTGGTGCTCTACGTCACATGACTCATTCAATCCTCTCACGTTACATAGGCAAGTTTTTGAGAAGGGCATCAATACATGCTCAGTGCTGCATATTGATTTGAGAAACCATTTAATATATCTCAAAGTAAGCTAATACTTGGGTCAAAACCTGCACAGGACTGTCTTAAATCAGTCCCTCAGAAGATAACATGTTTTCATACAGGGTGGATTATCCTCGACGCACCACCTTCACACAATTAAGGCACCTTTTAAACCCTTGAGGGGTCAATGGATTCTTCTAATAAGAAGAAAAACAACAATAACAAAATGGAACAAACCAGGAATAATACAAACAATTCAAACACGATGGAAGACACGAAAAACCGAGGAAAAAAAACAAAACAAAAAACAATGGAATGCCTGTGGATACGGTAGAAGTTGTAGAAGTGCCCTCGAAGTTTCATTTCTTCTTCTCTCACCTTGTAATTTATTACAGCAGCACCACAAGCCACAAGACTGTGGAAACACTGTGACTATTAGTGAAGCACCTTGATCAGTACAGTAGGTCCTCCCCAAAAACCTCACCTGTGTTTATGAGTCAACAAATGGATATGTATGTGCCTGTATAGTAGTCAGTATCCAACGTTGAGCTTGTTCTTATTGAGCTCTCGCTCCAGGTTGCCTATGAGAGTGTCGATGCTCTCCTGCAGGTCTCTCAGGTTCACCCTGTTGCTCAGAACAGGACTGATGTCCTGGATCTTCATGTAAGCCTGGTAAGTGTGCTCCTTAGGCAACCGAGTCGGCAGGATATGGTTAAACACTGTTTCCTCTGCTTCCTCCTCTTCAGAAGCCTGCCTGTTAATTGAGCTATCACTGTCGCCTTCTTTCTCTCTCTCTTCTTCTTCGCCCTTTTTCACCAACTCCTCTCTTCCAGATTCTTTCTCCAAGACAGGATCACAGAGGATCTTCTCCTCTTCATCTTCTTCAGCTGTGTCCTTCTCCTGAACCTCTTCAACCACCTCCGTATCCTCAGAAGGCACATCATCGTAGTCTGCCTCTTCTTTGCTGGGAGGCAGCAGCATTTCAGAGGGGAAATAACGCTCACCACAGCCACTCCAGTCACCAGCGTATCTGTTGCTGGGGCTGTCCAGGCGTCCCGGTTTGGGTCGTAGAACACCCGCTATCTCTGCTTCGCTGAGGTTTAGAAACTGGGGGCGCTCTTTTCTACGTCTCAAAGGAGGGGCTGACAGAAGGTCGAAGGAGGCCGGAGCCAGAGAGGCTGCAGGGGGCTGAGGGGAGCCTTGTTCATTTGGGTCCACAACTACAGTGAGAGAGACGGAAGAGAAAGTAACTAAATTAGATTCTAACTGAGTTTAAAAAAAATTTAATGACAGATAACATGCCTGATTCGTTTCAATACCCAGAAATCAATGAATTAAAGGCGCAGCTCAATAATTTAATCTATTTCAGTAATTCAATTTATAAAGATAAGCTTCCAAACTCCATAAAAGTAACTTCAATGGGGACAGAAATATCTTGTTTTCTGTTAATTTTAATGATAATGGCTGAGCTGGAAATTCAGTTTCTCAGAATATTTGGATAATTCTTAGCGGTAACTTGGCTTGACTTGTCCAACAGAGGCTGATTAATAGTTTTCATAGAGAGGGTAAGCCATAAAAACAGCTCATTGTTAAAGAAGCAGGTCATTTAATGTATGTTTATGGAAAGTGCAATACAAATGATGGTTAAAAAAAACTGTAAATAAGCAGCTTGGATGATATCTGCCTTTCCTTAAGATGTTTTAGGAGCAAAGATAATTCAAGAATTTGGAAAAGATTAACAAGCAGTGGACGAATACTGGAGTCATTGAACACCAGATGTCACAACTGTTGCTTAAGAGCGGTCTTAAGCCACTCTTGAATGAGAGATGACATCTTATCTGGGGTTAGGAGATAAAAGACTTGACTTTTGTGTAGAGATCCTTTTTTTATCTCAGATTCAATAAAATATTGCATTTAATTATTAAATTCTGATGTTTTCAGAGTCTGGGGAAATGCTGAGACACAGAATCAAAGCAGCTTTAGGTTTTGCGTTGTTTTCATTTTCCCCTTCACTAACCAGCTTAATAGACATGCCAATTTCATGGGACAAAACTACCAATTCCTTGTTTAATAACTGTGCTATAACTGCTTGATTGGTCAGCAACCTCAACTAATCTAAACCCCAACAACAATATGGGGGGTTTGGTCAAGAGCAGGATGAATGACCTAAAATAACACTAAACAGCCCAAGATGGCTATTAACGTAACCTAGGCTCCAAAACAACTAAGGCTGATCTTATCCAAGCCATGTTGCAAAGATGTTTCGATTCATGAAAAAAAGGCTCAACCAAATACAGAGTTCTCTTACGTCACAGTCAAAATTTCTGCATCAACAATCGTTTTTATTGCTTTTATGTAATATTTAATCTTTTTTTATGAACCGTTATCCATTATCATTGAAATGAACAGAAATAAAAACAGAAAATAAAACAGTGTGTTTATAAGTTGAATTACTGAAACAAACCTAAGTCAATTTTTCAATCACATTCTAATGTATTGAGATGACCAAGTACGGGCCTGGAATTAGTCTGCCGTTATTTGATTAGACACAGTTTTTAGAAAGCCCTGTCAGACATGCAAAGAAATAGTGATTAAGATCTTACAGAAAATCTTATTTAGCCTGATTCATAATGGAACTGATTTAAGACAATAATCAGAAATCATAAAAAAATAATAAGGATTTAGAGGGAAAAGGCTTAGCTTTGTGTCCAATATGGTTCCTTACATACTGCTGCCTAGTGTGTTGCCTTCCTTTATTTCAATGCAAATAAGGCAAAAGTACTTCAGCTTTAATTGATTTTTTTTCCCAAAAAGTTAAAAAAAAAGAAGAAAACTTGGTTTAACTTTAAAAAAAATAAATAATGAATTTTCTTGATTTTGCACTAAAAAAAACATCCAGAGCAAAATTAAAACAAATCAAAAAACTTCTATAAAGTCTAATTTTGTTTATGATGAAAAAATATGGCATTGAGGAACAGTTTACAACAGTTTAAAGGTATCTGAGCAGAAATATTATAAAGTGAAGGAACATGCCAACTCGGGCGCATGCTGAAATCACACCACCACACGCTGTGATTTTGTTCCCAGCCAATCGTACCGTTTAACCGCAGTTGAGCTAAACTTAAAAATTGACCAAAGCGATCCCCATTTGGTGGTTATAGAAAAAAAAATATATAAGGTGAGGGAAGAGTGAGCGATCACACACAGCTAGCTCAGTGTGATTACCTGTCTGTCTTTTTCTCAGTGTACCCATTTCTTACGGTCTTGAAAAGGAACAAAATACAGTTAGGACCAAAATTCACTGATGTTTTTTTTCTTTTTGTAACATTTTTTTCCAGTAGTCTCAGGGCAGTAATGATGAGTTCTGCAACATGTCAGCTTTTGGCTCAATCACCACAATAGTGCATACCTAGCAGCATTCCTGAGGCTAAAGACTAAAGCAATCACCCCTGAAGGAGAGATTATCTTCCCTATTCAGTTTTAGACATGACTCACCAATGACATGAATAAAATGCTTAATTTAGAGAAGGATAAAAAAAAATAGACTTTTAAATACATAGAGCAGTCATAAGACAAATAATTATGTGGTTTTGCTAATAAAAATTGTAAAATCTTGCCAAGTCAAGATGCAGAGACTCTTATCAAAATGACAGATGCTGGGAAAAAAACTAAAAAAGTGCCTCAGCAAACCATTAGGGTCTGAGTTTTCACACTTTGTTATTACAATTACAACCAAAAATTAGCAGTTTGTTTTTCAATACTTGTACAGTTTTAAAGGTCGCATTTAAGATGGTTAAATTTCTGAAATGACTTCCCTTGGTCTAACCTGTTTTAAACCTTGTAGAGTTTTATCTATCTGCACTGATAGAAATTCCCTTAATCCAAGCCTTTTGAATGCTTCAATGGTGGAAGATTTAACACTATCTTCTGAATATTTCAAATAATATTTTTTGATTGGAGATCGATATTAGTGTGCAGTTATGTAAACTTTTATTACCAGAAGAAATTAAAAAAAAAAGCAAAGCCAGGACTTCATAGAAAAGCTACTTATTCTGTCTTTATGTTGCAGAAAATTAGACAGTAGAAATACCCCATTCTTTTTCAATCTTTGTGCACATATTTTTATGACGAAATCTGCTGGTTTTTAACAGTTTTTTTGCTATAACTTGTTATCTGTTGCCCATGTAACCTTACTGATCTCACACCGGAGGAATTCACCTCCGGATTTAACCCATCCCCTTTGGGAGCAGTGGGCTGCCATTGTGTAGCGCCCGGGGAGCAGTGTGGGGTTAAGGGTCTTGCTCAGGGACCCAGACTGGCAGTCATGGAAGAACCTCTGGAACCCAAGAGCAATGCCCTAACCACTAGGCCCCTTCTCCCCAAAAAATACATAATTTTTAAAGAAAAATATTTTTGTTAAATACATCATTTCAACTCTTTCTATATTCTTGAATATTGTCTTTACAATTATATCTAATTTTGAGAAAAAAAAAGTAAATCTTAATTTTAAGTTTAAAGACTTACTTCAAATTATTTTAAACCACTTGGAAAATTAGTACACTGGAGAGGGACTCTAAAAGTTATGACCATGTCTGCACTTGAACAGCAGAATGTTCGAGCTTAAAAAGGGAATTACTTTAATCTAATGCACACCAACACTACTACACATGCCATCCTCACGCTACATCGGCCCGTTCTACCTCTCAAACATAAAAAAACTATATCACACATTCAATGAACAGCTGTCCATCAGCTTTATCAGCCTTTCACTCGTTCTGTGTCTTCCCACCAGCGGCCGTCGGATGCCCCTGCCTTTGCCCTGAAACACGTGCAGCAGAGGCCTGAGCCATTTTGCTTTGGAGGAGGTTGGTATGTGTGTGAGAGGCGTGAAGTGGCGGCTGAAAATATCCCATAATGATTGTGAAATGTTAGGGTGAAGCTCCGGGGGCTGAAGGGTAAGGTTAAGTCTGGAATGTCTTTAATTACAGTCCAGGCGTCCTCCAGTCCGTTCTGGGGAAGAGGATGGATAGGAGGTAAGGGTGTAAACAAAGGCTGGAACCTGGAATGAAAGCTTTTTGTAAAAGTTATTACAGGCGGTAGCCAGGCTGCATCAGCAAAGACCAGAAACTCATCGCAGGAATTTTCTTAGTCTAAAACTTGCAGCTAACTCCTTTAATAGCTTTTCATATGTATAGACCCTTAAAATAATAGGATTTATTCTGGAATATTTCAAATGTCTCTGATGTTTCTTGCCATCCACACAGGCTTCAATTCTGGATTTGCTTTTTTTCTTCTTCCTTTTCAGTTTTTTTTATTATTGTTCTATTTTAATGACCAAAAATATATAAATACTCAACACATGAAGCAAAAATATCTATTGTGTTATTTCAACATTACCTATAATGTCATCATTTATATTTATTTATGTTTTTGCTTTTTGACTGTATTCTCAGCAGCCTTTTGTTAACCTTTTCTTGCTTTTTTCCACATATTTCTAGTTCACTGTGATGAAAATCAACATTACTCTCATTAGCAATAAACCTATGAAACACAAAGTATTAAAAAATTATTTAATATGCTGTTAAAACAAAGCTAGCTCAGAGTTGGATTCAAAGGGTGGCGGCTATATGGAGGGACAGTCTGTCAAAAATTAAACATTTTAGTTTAACATTAAGTTTCCGTGATGTGATCTAAGAAAGGCTTTTAGGAAAACTGTAGTTAAAAAATAGATGTATGTTAAATTCAAAAGCAACCTGCATCATTCATTAAGTTTTTATTTAGCTGATTATAGGAACTAATAAATAAAATTTCAAAACCCCCCAAAATACTGTTGTTTTAAGAGCACTTAATAAGCATTATGATTGTAGTTTTGTATATCCTGTTAAAGTTTCTGTAAACAAAGCTATTAGCTTTTATCATGAACATTTTAAAGTGCTTTCTGAAATAATCTTTTTAGTTCCTTCATATTTTATAAAAGACAGCTGCAGCTGGTAGAAGCAGCTGTAAAGGCTGACAAATGAGCTACAGGGAGGAAAGCTGGTGCTGTGGACCGCTGCTGGATGACTGGTTTAGCATAGAGAGGAGGGGATACGCCTCATAAATTAGGTTTATTTTGGCTTTCCTGGCTTGGCTCTGATTGGCTCAGCCCACCACGATAAAGCCCTTGTGGAGAGTTTCATCTCAGAAAAGCCAGCAGATGGTGGCCAGTGGCTATCAGCAACTTTCATGCCACTCTGTAACCTTCAAGGATCAAAGCAGCCCAGTCCCACATCAGTTCTCCGTAGAGCCAGACCACAAAGCTGGTAACAATTTGTAAAACTACTCCATAAATAAAAAAAAAAAAAAAAAGAGCAACACAGTTTAGATGGAAACGAATCGACCAAAATGAAAAAATGAAAGGATGGAGGATTCACCTGGCCAGAGCTGCAGCAGGTAGTGCAAGACTTCAATGTGTTTTTTGAAGTGCAGTGCGCTGGCCAGCTCCTCTGAGTCGATGAAGACGCGGTTGGTATGGTAGGACGCCTCCTGACGTTGGCTGAGCAGCACCGGCCCGAAACAGACAGCCAGGTTCTGACATGTCATCTTGTTCATCTCCTGGTAGGACGCCACCAGCTTCAAGTGGTCGAGAAGCTTCCGCAAAGTCATCTGATGCAGACACACACATAAGGGTGGACAAATAAGGCATGTTATTATGCTGATTAGTAGTTGCAGTATTACCACTGTCAGCAGCTGAGGAGTATCAGAGCAAAGCCTCTTCTTCATCAAGTTAATCTGTTGCAGGAACAGGACACAGTGGAACTAAAAAGTGTACATACATTTTGCAAGGTAAAAATTTGCCAAACATCCTTAACAATTTAACCAAAAACTCAATAGGCCTGAAAAAAATAAAATTAAATTTTAAAAAGATGCATTCAATTGATTGCCAAAGCCCCCTCTGATTTATTCTTACATTCTTCTTATTCTTTCTAGTGAATTTGATGAACCTTAATCATCTCTGAATCCCTGAAATCAGGCCATAGTTGCAGACAGGTTAGAAGGCCGAAATTTCAGGCCATTTATTTATTTTTTTTATGCCAGTGTTCAGCCATGAGTGGATCTCTTGCTCTGCTACCGCGACCCCTGAGCCGCCTCCGCCTACACTGGCAGCTTTTTGTTTTTCTCTGCACACCCTGACGTAACACGTTAGTGCACTCAGTCGGTCACTGGTGTCTGACAGTTGGAGAGTAAAGAGAGCAAGAGTGGCATGGAGAAAACTAGAATTAAAAAGAGGAAAGCTCTGGAATATTACTGCATATTTACGCCATATATATTTATCGCTCTGAACTTCCATATCAATGCATGTTTGCACAATGTTTTTTTTTTTTCTCCAACACTGTTTATGTGATCACTGCTGCACTTTAAAGAGTAGAAATGTTCTGAAAGCTGTACAAAACAAAATTTCGTGTTGTATACACTCTGTGTATAAAAAATGGCAATAAAAGTTGGCTAAGTCTAAGAAACAGACACTGCTAAATGTACAACAGTTGGCAGCTTTTTAGTATAACAAGCTTAAAGTTTGAAATGTGCAAAAACATCGATAAAACGGGTAAGGCAAGATGCTGAACTTTGCCTGCAAGCCACTGAACACGTTAAATATCAACTCATTGCATTTTGTGGGGATGTGGTGCATAATATAATGTTATATAACTTTCTATACCCAAGCCATATAAACTACCTGTTATATTTCTTAGCATTAAAACCCATGGTAAAATCCCAAATGTGAAATGGAAAATTAGGAATTATGAAATAAATCTGAATATTTACCCCTTGAAATATCTTAGTTAAGTTCAAATTTGTTTTCCATATCGAATGTGCTCAATCTTTAAAGATTACTATTTATTTTATGATGCAATTAAATGAGAGTCTAGTTAACTGGATGAAGTGTGAAATATTAATATTTCCAGTTATTTTATTTCACTTTGAAGGTTTGGATATCTGTGAACACTTATTTCAAAAGAATGTTGAATCTGCTAAAAAGGTTATAAACAATAATGTTTGTAATAAATATGTATTGTGAAGCAACCTTAGCTTTTACTGCATAAGAAGTATTTTAGAAATACATTGTGATGTAGTAGACTTAACCCATTAGTTTACAATTTCATGGTTTTTAACAGTGATAGGTCATTGTCCTAAATGGGCCTGTATGAGGCGTGAAACTCCAGGGCTGAAAAGTAGTCCCATTCCGACCCTGTTAGAAAGGAATTGATATTGTTTCAGAAAGGTTAGAAGAAGGACCCCAAATACTAACTAATTAATTAACGAGAAAATGTGATGGAAACTGGTCAAGGAGACAGATAGAGGCTTAATAGCAGAGCTGGTAGGCAAGCCTCTTTATTCTACCTATGTCTAGACTAAGAAGGGTGTCTGAATGACAGATGCCTTTTTTTTTTAAAGGAATATGAATATTGTAGGAACTTGAGCTTTTGTGCAACAATTTATAAAAGTTATTTTTTTTGTTCTAAAAAAAAAAAAAACAGAAAATAATTCAACTACACAAAGAAACATGATAGTTGCAGGATCCTGCCTTAGAGTTACTCCCCCCCACAAAAAAGAACTGACTTTTTATAGGTTATAATAATCTGAACATTCTAGTCTCTTAGATATATTGTCAGTAAGCAGTAATGTCAAGTAATTAGCCTCACATTTTATCCCAAAAAACAACAGGTACATCTCTGCAGACAGCATAGCACTGTTATTATCATTATGTGGTAAACGTGCGTAATGTCACTACAACGGTAGTAATCTTAGGCAATGTCATCATTCCACAACTGCCAGTAGTGAAGCCAGTGTAAACGTTTTCATAGCTTCATATTAAAATGTATTTTTTCCCCCCATTAAAGTGTAGGAAAGCAGCAAAGTCACAGGAATATTGTTAACTCACCCTCTCCACCTCCGGCAGGATTTCCAACAGACTCACAGTATACTCTGAGTCTGCCTGATCGTTTTCACACCCAGAAGCTCCCATCTTGAGAGGCCTGGTGGCCATAGTCTCCAGCACTGCCTCGTACAGCTGCTTGGTGATCAGAGGGTAGGGAAGTTCACGCAGGTAGTCCTTCAGTACTCCTGTGGCATTGAAAGAAAGCAGACTATGAACAATATGGCTCACATCTCAGTCTGAATGGGTCATCATGGGTGCATGCTCTGTAAACAGGTGTTTAAGTATTTACCAAATATATCCAAATGAACCACTATTCAAATTATCTAAAGCATTTATAGTAAGTAAAAGAAAAAGGAAAGATCTTAATATCTGATTCAAACAACTTAAGCTTTTGGCTGATTGGGATCAGGACTGTACATCAGATTCTGCTATGATGCTGCAGGAGGGGATGCCATACGTGGCTTTTTACCTAATGCATCCGTTTTTTCTGTATCAATGTTTGAAAATAAATACAGTCCATCCTTATTTTTAATTCTCAGTTAGATTTTAACGTTCCTGCATCTAAACGTTACATATTTGTACAAAAAAAGGCAATTGCAACTCATTCATTTACAGTAGGAAGAACTTATTAGAACAGGTCTATTACTTTACAAGTTCCCTTTGGGGTTTGGCAGATTAACATCTATCATTAAATATAAATTTTTGTTTCAGTTAAAGTACCCAGATCAATTTGAAACATAGAAAAACATTTATAGTTGAAATCATCCAATTTGTTTAATATACATAGGTTCTCTTTTTGTAAAATATGAAATAAATGGCAAATTAAGGGGGCTCCATTGTTTCAGATAGTGATTCTTTGGTGTCTGGCTGGATGCCCGGCTGATGAGGGTGTGATGCATTGGTCCTTAGTGTTTTGGTAGACTGGGGAGGGTCTGGTTTAAGTGACGGAGCATTAACACCTGTGACTTTGGACTCCTGCAGCTCAGACAAAAGCCACAGAACAACATGAAACCAACGCTGTCTGTCTCCACTAAGCCCCTGGCATGTCTTTTCTTCAAAGGCAAAAAAGGGGGGAATTAAAAAAATAAAAAAGCTTTTTGGCAGCCTGACAGGTCTTTGTGGTGAATGTCTGCTCTCATTTTGCTCTACATGAAGCTGGATCGGTTTCCAGGGAGGGCTAGGGGCTGTGCGATTAGCATTATTCCTTCAGCTCGTCTGTAATTCTAATCTTCAGAAAGAAAAGGCCACCTTTAAGAATGCTCAGATCTATAAATCATACTTTTAAATAATAATAAAATAAATCTCTCAAATTTGAACTTTAGTATTTTACGTTTTTTCGCTGTTTTTTTTTTGGTTTATGTTGTTTTTTTAAGAATTTAAGCCAATCAATTATCCATAATCCCAAAGATATTTCCAATGATTCCTTAGAAGAACATAAATACTATTTCACATTCTATGCTTTTATGAAAAAATAAATAAAACCATTGGAGTTTCTTTGTCCTAACTGATACTCATTTGGTTTATTACCTTTTAGAGAGATCTTACCTCCCTTTTCTGACCAGAAACTTGATTGAATGAAAATTATTTACAATTTAACAGGAATATAAATCATAACGGTCTAACTAAAAATGATTTAACTTGCAAAAACTTACTGTTAAATGAGATATCTTTGGGTTGGCAAAGCATTAAACAAGCTTCAGATACCCCTTAACAGCACCGTCAGGTGAGAACCTGAGTTATACAAATAAACCCTCCTTATGAACCTGCCTCTTCAGGTTAATTGCGAATTATGTTGAATACAGAAACACCCAGCTGAGCAAAATAAACAGCCTTTCAATATGGCTCTTATAAAATCAAGATAAACTAAAATATGGACAGTTCCAAATGAGGCAGATTGGAAATACTTTCATCTTGTTTTAGTTATTCTTAGTTTCTTTAAAACAGGCTTAAACCAAAAAGCTGATAAGAAAAATATTTGGAGTCCTTGTTAAAATTTGGAATTCATTCAAACCAAAAACATACAAGAGATTTATGAATAAAAAAAAAAAAAAAAAAAAAAATAGAAAAAAAAGAAAAGGTTCTAGTTGTGACTTATTTCACTCTAAAGGTATTTAAAAGCTACAGAGACTCACGTTTATACTCACGTGTATAATAATGTCATGAGGAAGCTGTTTATAGCTGGTTTTAAGATCAGTGCTATTTTTTTATTACATCACTCTATCCGATATATGCTGCCAATATTTGTGGGCTGATTCTTGGAACCGTTACCGCTTTTTAGCCTTCTTTTATTTACATGATAGAAATAACTAAGTAATATCAAATGTTATGCAGGTATCAATTTAAGCAAAAATAAGAAACTTCTATTAAAAAAACAAACAAAACATTGACAATTTAATGACCAACGGAGGGATTTGCACTGTGTGCATCTAACAAGATTCCAAGACCTGGCTGTTAAATGCATCAAAGAATGCACATATGGGTTGATACTGATAAGAAAAAAAAAACTCCTTTTCAAGTAAAATCCAAACCACTGCAGTCTTTACATGAGCAGTAAAAACTCACCACCACAAAAAAAAAAAACTACATCCTCAGAAGACATTAGTCACTGTGACAACCACAGCCTTTACCTAGGAAATCCCAAAGCAGCAACCCAATCCATTCACGTAACAGACTCTGATTCAGAGCTTCTACCTCATTAGCTCTGAACTCTTGGATCCAGTCTCGTCTACCTGCAGTGATTAGCGTCTCTTTCTATTTATAGACATGCGATTTTATCCGAATCCATGGACATCTCCTTAGGAACACCTTAACACGCTAGCTCTTTAATCCCTGTAAGACACTGCTTTTCTTTTTAAAGGAGCCTGAGGCTTAAAGCATTTTAAGACTAGTTCTGACTGCCTCTTTGGTCCATCATCTGTCAGTTTCTACAGCAGTAAAATGCTCTAACAATCTAACATTATAAAACAATACTTTTGAAGAGGCAAGAATATGTGAATTATATCAGTCAATAAAAGAAAGCTTTTAACAAAATAATCAGAGTTTTACTAGATCAGAGCGTACTATGGTATGTGTTTTCCTAGTAAAGAAATAAGCAAAAATAAATGAATGAATAATTACTTAAAAATTTAAGTTGCAAACATATAATTGGGGGACCAAGCCTGGTTAGGAGAAGTGTGGAAGCTTTTGCCCTATATATATATATATATATATATATATATATATATATATATATATATTTATATTAATTTAAAAATTGCCTTGGACCTTACAATATTACTCAGTTATAGAAATCCAGTTGCACTTGGTATCACTAGGGTTAAGGTCAACAAATTCTAAGCTCTAAATCACACAATTAAAAACTTAGATATATACATCTCTGGGATAGGTTACACACGCTCTTCCATGTTTTACCATGCAACAACATTTATGCATCACTTACAAGTTGTAAACCCATTTTTTTATTGAACTCCTTGCTGGGATTTAAAGGTGAATGACCAAGAAATTTACACATCAAAGAAAATAAGTAAGCATACTTAAGGTATTGCAACAAAAATTTAGATTTAAAAATCAGATCAAGAAAACAATTAATCCCTTCTGAAAAAAACATTAAATAATGCCTTTATTTAGCAAAAATAACTGGAACAGTTTAAATCAAAGATTTTGCTTAATGGCAACTTTTCAAATTGAGTTATTAGGTTATGTTATTAAATTACAGGGGTTGATACTGTCCAAAATACTTTTACTATATATGAAAAGTTTTGAGGTTCATTATCAAATTAATAAATCTAATCTGGATCTTATATATAAACAGATTATATAAATATAATCTGTTTAGTTTAAACGCAGAATCTTTTTGATAAAACTTCTGCACACATCTTCACCACAGTTTCTCTACAAAACATAGATTCTCTGTACTTCCATTTGCATTTGATACTAGATTACACTTTGATCCTGTTGTACTATTACAGATGATAATTTCTCCCTTCAAAAATGACTGATCTACAGAAATGGAAAAGTAAAAACAACCCGGCTCAATGCAGCCTTGGTAGTTAAAATGGATTGTCATGTTTTTGCCTACTCGCTGTACACAATTCTTTAAACCAACAAATAAACCAACAAAAAAAAAAACTGTGCATGGTAAACACAGTGGCTGCAAAAAATAAGACGCCAATGTTTGTCCCATATAAAAAAAGCAATGTTAAACTTCTGAACAGGAAACTTCTGAGTCCTAAAAAACCTTCTAAAAGAAAAAAATAAATCACTGGCAGTGAACATGTTAATGCTTCTATTGTGCTGATTTAAACAGCCTACTATACAATGGGGAATGCATCAACTAACCTTTCTAAGCAGGTGGAGAAAAAAAGTGCAGAATTGAACGCCTTTTATTATTGCTTTTATTTACAAAGTTTACTTCAAGCTCCTCTGTAGCATTTAAAAATACCTGAAATCAAAACAAACCAAAATTCAATATTATCCTATAGAAGCTGCAAAACGCCAACCTGTAGCCAGATAAGTAGATGTCATTTCAGCCCTCCTTTCACAGGTAAACAAACATAATACCAGCTAGGGGAGCCATAAAAAACAGAGACTAAAATCTTCATTAAATATCCCCGCAGTTAGCTCCTGTACTTTGCGATCCAGAATATTTATTATAAGGGTGACTCACTTCCATGAATGCTTTGGTTCATTGCCTTAGTCATATGTGGTTTAAATGAGCAACATTTGATAACATCAATAAAAGCTACATTCATTCCCCTAAATGTCTCCCAGGACTCGCTGATTTCCAAACCAGATAACCGATGAACAAATATCTTTCCACACTGACAGCATTGATGGGATATTTAGGCAGATAATAATAATCAGACCCATTCATCAAAGCAAAACAAACTAGAAGCTAAACAAGTTCACTTTTTTCCCTCCATCCAACTTAATGAATAAAACACTGTTTCAACTTTTAAGGCAGAAGGCAAAAACATTTAAAAAAAAACAAGCTACCACAGCGCTTGTTTTTCTTCTATTTAAACTAAAACTCCTGCATGGTTGAGTCTCTGACCTTCCTTGTAGACTCAACAACAGCAGCTGGACTGTTTCACGTTAAGGCTGCAAAACAGCCCTAAAACAACCTGCCCCCCCACCACCACCTTGCATAAAATCTCTGAAGCCATTGCACAGACATTCCTGGATTCTGCAGTGTTAAAAAAGATCCCTGCAGGAGTGTGTTTGCACACGTGTCTATGCGCACGTACTGTGGTAAAGTGAGGAGAATACAATTCAGGTAAATCATTATCCTGATGTGAGTCAGTGGTCTGTTTACCTTAGCGTCCAAGACGCTGCTGGAGCCTGATCCAAGCACTCACGCACACACATTTCTATTTTGCTACATGTAGTGAGAACCATGTGAAGACTTCCATTGATTTTCAGTCATTTCCAACCCTTTCTATATGCTAACCCTCACAATAACTCTAACCTAACCATTAACAGTGCAATCATATCCTTAACCTAATCTCACATCTTAAATAAAAGAAGTTAGGACCAGCAAAATGTCCTTATTTTGCTATAAACAGTCCTCAATTTGATGGTGAAATGGAAAAAAATTGTTCCCCACTCTGACGCCAAGACAGGAGCGCACGCAAACACTTTCAACACCTCTGCGAGGCACACATGAGGTCGGTCAGGGGCTCAATGGTGAACAGGTGTGCCTACCCTGCAGGTGCTTCACCTTTTTTCACAGCCAAGCTGACAACAAACACCCACCCACTGTGTTCTCTCTCGCCATTAAGCAGTTGGCGTTTGGAGCATATCAGTGCTATAAATGCACTCCATATCACCTCCTACACATAATGGTAGGAACTAGAAGTATCACCACATGAAAGAGTTTTTTTTTGTTTTGTTTTTACTCTCAGAATGAGCTTCCAAAGGAAGCATCAAAGTTACTTATTATTATTTATAAGTTATTTATTTGATTGACTTTTCCACAGCTCCAAATGCGCCACCAAACACTACAAAGCACACAATGCATCGGGGCATTGCTCTACCTTTGACCTGTTGTTCAAACAAAGCAGAGGGTCACTCCTCCTGTCAGTGCTGCAGTCAGCACCCCATCCGGAGAACAAACCCCCGTTTGTTCTCCGTCCTAACTTCCCCCGCTGTTTTGCAAAACCCCACAGTACCTAAGGGTGGGTTGAGGTGTGTTTCCTCCTCCAAACACATGGTGAACCTTTACATAGTTATTAGCTCAACATTTCCACAGAGCAAACTGTGCGAACCTTTTCCTTAACTCTGAAACTGGTGCTCTCCCGTCTTATGAGCAGATTCCAGATTAGTATATCCTGAATTAACTCTTTCTGAGCTGCACTTTAATAAATAGATCAACACCCACAGAGTCTGGTGCTCTCTGTAAAAAGCTTGCCTACTTCCGTGGCTTGCCCAGAGTTCAGCTAATCCCCCATGCGTGAGCCAAATACCATCTGTGTTTGTCCGGCAACAAAGGGGGCACTTGTTAATGACTTTCCATGTCTTCACTGGAGTACTGCACAGGGTGGGGGCCGAAGCATTTAAAGGGGGGGCGAGGAAACAGCAAGTCAGTCAAAACTCCAGTCCACAACCATGCATGGATGGTGACATCATGAGAATCCCTCAACTGGTTTCATTGTTTAGTTTTGTTTTTGTCCTATAAAAATGTCTGTTCCACACATGCATTCACAAAGAATTTTTTTTTAACAGAATCAGCAGTTTGAGCCTTTAATCAGATTTACTCCTTAACCGATCAAAAAGGAAAACCCTGTTTTAAATCCCCTTTGGCCATAAACGAAATAAATGTGAAAATAAGACATTCTGAACTGTAGGAGTTCATGCATCTCAGGTCCTCCTCTATATTTTCTTGCGTGGTCTAAAGAAAATGCAACAACGCACAGAATAAATGTAAGTAAATAGTGATGATCAGTAGTATTTTATTGCCACAAAAAAAAACAGCAAAGCAAAAAGAAAAAACTACTTCTCATGCCAACTTGATGAATATATCCATACGTAATCCTTTATTAAAGTTTCAGAAGTGTGATATAAAACAAAGTATTTGAATTGAAACAGTGTAGATCCATACTTTGAGCATGTTTGGCAAGCTTTGAGTTGAACTTTGACCTGTAGGATAATCCCTTTCACTGCCTGCGCTTTAAATTAGCCGTGTGACACGCCACTCCTCCGAGCCTGTCCACAGACTGTTCACTTTTTAGCCTCTAGTCTTACAGAGACTTTTTATTGGGTTTACGGACTTCATTTTCTATATACTATAAGTATTTTGTCTTAAATAACTTTTATCATTTTGTATAAACATAGTGTATACAAAGCCAAATTTCATTTTGTAATGCTTTTTGACAGTAAGGAATTGTCGAGAGCTGCATCAAGCAACTGCCTACAGGCGCCGCCATGTAATTTAATGTGAAAATATGACTGATTATATCCTAAACCCAATCTCAAACTGCATTAAGCGTTTAAAAGGCATCAACAGACTAATAGAAATAACACAATAAAAAGGTAATAACTTTGATCATCACATTAAACCAGTCACATCTCTTCATGTCTGTCAGCTACAGGAACTCGCTAAGCAGAGAAAATTTGGGCAGCAGGCAAAAACCAACAATCCTCGATGGTGCAGGCCCTTTTTTTCCAGCTCGCTCAACTGTTAACTGTGTTCTTTGCTCTGCCTTGCAACTGCATGTGGATCAAAGCAGGCGTGATGGGACGACGCCTAAACGAGGCCTCTTTCTAAAACCAACAGCAACTTTTATAATACCTACTGGTTTCCATGGCCTTCCTCCTTTTGTAATAGGAAAAGAAAGTCATGACTCAAGTCATTTTGGACTTTTTTTTTGCTCCTTTATCTGCTGAACTCTGAGAAACATTCCTCAGTTCATGAATGCTTGACAGAAAGTTTTGTGTTCTGTCAAATTACACCATTTTGTATAATTTTTTTTATTTCAATCTACAAACAAAGAATCAAATAAATCCCATACTTGCAAGAAAAATAAAGAAGCTCTATCACTAAGCTACATTTTTGGACAATCACCAAAGAGTTCAAGCCAAGCCTTTAGACAACAGAAATCCTCTAGCCTGCAGTGACCTGGGAGGAGACCATCCATAACAAGTTCCAACCGCTAACCTGATGGAGAAAGAATGACCTGAATGTAAAGCCCGGTTTGATCTGTGTGTGTGTGTGTGTTTTGTGGTTTCCTCCAGGCATTGATCTATATGTCGACTCCTGGAATGCTTTTATTGCCAAAGCCACGCCCTCACACATACTGCTAGATGAGCACATGTGTGTTGGTCACACCAGTTCAGACAGAACGTTTACTGACTGAAATCAATGCTAAACCCAGACTTCAGCAGACTAAGGTCTCATTAGTGTTGTCTGTAGGCCACTACTGTCAATCACTGCTGAAAGTTGGTAAAAGTCTCAGTGCTTTTAAGCCAACAGTTCCTGTTGCTCATATTACATTTAAACTCTTCTAAAACAGGTAAAATATCCAGGGATGAAGATGTTGATATTCTCCAAAAGAGTCACTGTATGTGCTTGAATAATCGATTCCTCTAATTAGACAGGATCCCGTGTCGGCTCCGGCTGATCACGTTACCTGTGATGACGTTGATGTCCGGATACATGCTTTCACATAGCTCCGCGCCTTGGCTGTCTCTCTCGAAGGCCTCACGCAGCTCCTTTTTTACCGCTGCAGAGCCGCATAGGCGATAGAGACCCACCACCTGGGACAACAAACACAAAGAGACACATTTTAGTCAAATATTTAAATTGAAAGAAGGCAGAACATTTTAAATACCTGATTTGATTTAGTTGAATCAGAGTTGGATAAACTGAATGAAACAAGTTTTGATAAATGAAATTTATGTGTCACCATTTCCTCCTATTACTTTTATCTGAAAAATCAAAGCTGTTAATTTTATTTCCTTCCCCTTGTTTTTTTTTGTCCTGTTTTGATTCCAGACATAGCTATTGGCTCAACTTGTATAGTAAATAACTGGATATCCAATCTTTCATACTTTTTGACATGAAAACCAGCTCAGAGCTCATTTGCTTATTGTAACAAGAGCACATCTGTGCTAGGTGTGAGGCATTGCTGCCAAGCCAACACCATAATGCAAGCATATTTTTACTTCTGCCTCATGCTAATCGAGGAGGAGCGGATCCTCCTGGATGAAGAGGTCAATGACTCCATGAAGACAATGAGGTCAATGACTCAATGCAATCAGCTGGGTTTCCTTAGATGGAAAGCTCTTAAACAATCTGCCTGTATGATCTGATTGAATTGCCTCTTTAAAGTCCGTTGAGATAAAAAAAATGGTGAAATGGTGCTATAAGGATTAACTAAATTGAATCTGTCATCAAATATTACTAAAAAGGTTACATTCAACCACACTAGCCTCTGTATTTCTTCTACATATTTAGATCCATTTTCCCCACTATCTTGTATTAATGAGTTTTATTTTGGGTTAAACATTTTCAGGAAGCAATAATACCAAACCTATTTTTACAGAAATGTTCAGGAAATAAATCTATTTCTATCTAGTCAGGGTAAAGATCAGCGGTGTTCAATCCCAGCCCTGCAGCTTTCAGATGCTTATCTCCTTCAGAACACCTGGTTAAATAAAGTAATTAGCAGAACTTCACTTGTGTACTGGGGAGGTAAATTAGCCATTTGATTGGAGTGTATGGAAAAAGACCCCTGGTACTGAAGAACAAGCATTCGTCGTTGATAAGGGAAAAAAAGGGGTTATCAAAGTCTTTTAAATGATCGGTAATTAGCTCAGAATATTCCTAGATTGGATTCTTTTTGGAAGTTAATGTGTCAACCTGTTCCATTCTTAAAATGAGTTCTTCTCCATAAATTTTAATGCTAAACAGCATAAAACTGCTGCAGAGACTCTGAAAAGTAATGTGGTAATATGAGTTACGCAGTAACAACCCTCTGAAGAGAGTATTAACTTACATGGGACCCTGGGAGTTCAGACAAACAGGTTAAATTTCCATCCCATAACCCGGCACTTTGTAAAATGCTTAAATGAGAACCATTCTGATGGAAATTGAAAACACGTAAAAGGCTCCCAGAGACCTGACAAAAAAAGTGCCAAATCCTTTTGACAAAGTGTGTCAAAGTTAACCTCCTATTAAGGCCCAGGTGACAACTGAGCATTGAAAATGAAAGCTATGAGCCATCTCTACTTGTTTACCTAAGCCTCCAGACTGTGACCTAAAGGGACTAGAGACACCTGATAGCTGAAACTTGGCACTGTTGCTTTCCTTGTTATACTGGGATTAGGTCTCTCTGCAGACATACCATAATTTCTCCTACATGTGTCTGTCTGGTATGTGGCATAGCTGGCCAACTGGTGTGGTTGCCCCAGTAACATGTTAAGTCAGTGGGCTGTGAATGGCGGCTCGATTCCGGTTGTGCGTACACATCAACACACACCGCCAGTCTTTCCAGGCTCCAGCGTAGGAGCAGTACCATGTCTTTCTGTCCCAACAGAGATGTTGCTGCATAGCTGCCCTTGCAAGGCCCAATGGCATTGCTTTTTTTGTACTTTTTCTTAACCTCACACAAGAGTGAGAGAGAAGGACAGATTAGGCATTTGGCTTTGTGTGTGTGTGTAAATAAAAGTCACTGGACACAATGAACAACAAGTCTATTCAGAAATAAAAAACATGGTGTCTCTCTTTGAGTGCAGGCAGAGAACAGCTGTTGGCAAAAAGAGGGCCTGCTCTTATGCTGCGCGGCTGCCGGGCAACACAACAGGCTGGGCTGGCCAAGACCTATTTGTGGAGCAAATCAGGGACAAGGACCTCAGCACAAAACGGGCTGAAAAGAAGAGTGGATGTAAATCAGGTGGAGTATTTTCCTGCTCTGGTCAGCTGTAAGACTAAACTAAACAAAAGAGAGCTTAATAGAGAAGAAGTAACACGAGCAAATGTGACCAACTGTTTGACTAAGTTTGAAAATCTCTTTCCTCTTCTGGCCAAAGGGAACCATTTCTGAAAATATCCATAGTGCTGGAACTGAGTGGGTGATGTTGCCTTTTTAGTCAGTATCAGGTAAATGTGAATAGAAATCCATTCTTAATATGATATAGTACAAGAGTAGCAGAAATAACTCCTTTTTACTAGAACGTTATGCTGAATACCGTCTCTGAACCACAATATGTTGAACTCTGAGAAGTGTAGGGTTCAATTTGGTTAAAAGTTCTGGTATCGTTCCAGCTTCGCCTCCTGTATCCTAACAGCAAGAAACCACAGGCTCACCAAAATTAAACAGCAGATAAAAATGTTGCCTTGCCCTTTGAGTCTCCATCTCAGCTTTAACATTTAGATAGCAGGGTAAGAATTTGTAGTAAACAACATGATGCTATTAGTCTCTTCTGCCTTAACAATTTATGCAGTTGGTGGTTGGTCTAATGGATAATAGGATATTTTCTTGATATACCTTATATCCACCAGCTTAACATTGTACAAACACATAAGTCTACCTAAACATAGTTGTCCATCCCAAGATGACCAAAGGCTATTTGTCTTCTAATGGCATGTTCCAGCAGGAATGACGCCAACATCTCAATTATAGTCAATCTAGTTTCTTGAAGATGTCTTGAGTTCCTTTATGCAAAATTCCCATTATAAAAACTTTGTATCAGTGATATGTGTCCTGAAGCCTGCGTATGAGATTTACAGATGAATAACAAATTGAACCTCTCTCATTGCCTTTCTCCACCTCTTAGCTAATGCGTGCTCAAAATGCTCTATTTGAAAAGCCTTCCCTTTATGATGTCATGAGGGGAAATGTGCTGTCCAGAAGGGGAAATGTGCTGTCCAGAACGGTCTGTATTAGTCAATCGTTTCATGCTGCGGCCTTCATTTAATGTAATATTTCATGCTCCTAGGCTATTCTTACAAACTCTGACTGGTTGTTATGGTTGCAGGTGCACGGCCTTCAGACGGACCGGGACGTGGAAAGCCAAAACCTCTTGTCAATAGGAGGACTGAATAAGGAGATTTTTGGTAAAGACCGTCTGCCTGATCTGAGAGGTATTTTCCTGCACAAAAAGCAAAAGCATGCTCTTGGGGCCTCATTGTTAACAAAATGTACCATGATATGGGACCTTTAAATAGGCTCCACAATCGTCAGATGCCAATCTAACAGTGTTATTTTGGGATGTGGTCTAACAGGAGAAAACCATCACAAATATGTAGCCAAACAGCTACAGCAACTGCATTTTCTTTAAAATGAATATGGTCCCAAATCTCAAAAGAATGTTTCTTATACCTTGTTGAATTTATACCATGAATAATGCCCTAACAGTACCACCAAGGACTAATAAAGTGGCCTAATATTGTGTATTCTGTGGGAATAGTAATGTAGATTTTATTCATTTAATTTTCCCTGGCCATTTAAGGAATCAGGAAGTTTTTAGAAATCTATTTGTTATTCAGGAAGACCATACTGTTACATGCTACTAGTAAGAAGTTTAAGATCATCAACAAAATATATTAGGACTAGTAGTTTCACTTTTGAGCTGCAGTTTTTAAAATAACTTGAAACTATCCCTGCAAGACAAAGTATCAACATGGAGCATACTCTAAAGTTTATTCCCTAAAGGTATTGTGGAGGATTTTGAATTTTTTAAAAGACCCGCACTCTCCACTTAAAAAACAAAATGCACATGCACAACCCTGTACCTGCTCTGAAGAGGGAATGCCAATTAAACGCATGAAAGAGCATGTACAAGCCCATTTCTCCTTATGCACACTCTGTTTAAAAGTTGCTGTCCTCATAGCTCATTGAAGTTTACTGTGCCCCAATGTCCACCCTAACCCCTAAATCCATCAATCACTATATAGAGCAGCACTAAATAGTGGACTTTATGCAAACTCAGTTAACTGACCATTGAGACAGATGATCACTCCTCCACTGCGCGGTGCCTGTGCCATCTTTGTTATTAGTCGCCACTGTCGGGTAAGACAGCCTATGGCAACAGCAGCCCGCTGTTACAGCAAATCCCATAATGCTTTGCAAGGAGAGCTCTCCACGTAAAGCATTCCAGCATAGTTCTGACTCTTCTGAGGACTTTCTTTTCTTCTCTTACGCTTCGTAGACACTTATTGTCTTTGGGCCCTCAGCTATTTTCAAAGAACCGCGGTGAGAAAGATGAGATTCCGTGACTGTCTGAAACCGTAGCTCACCACAGATATATGCCTAAAGTGCACATGCGCAGAAAAAGATAGCTAACTCGGGACGAGCAAGTAGGAGGGCCTTATGTAAACATATCACCAGAATGATTGACAATTAGGAGGACCACTTATTTAGATGATCCACCCGGAAGTAAAAGACCTTTAATACACAGCGGCCTGGCTCCTGGCCTAAGGGGTAACCCTCACTTTTCACCTTCTGTTTAACTTAGTCAAACCTAATGAAATTTGTTTTGTTTTTTTAATCCAAAGGATAGCTGAACATCTTAATTTAGGACAGGCCCAATTTGTATAACAGAAGTTATCTGATTAATGAATATGTAACCTAACTATGGAGATAGGGCTATACCTCCCAGCAATGTCACCTCCAAGATAGTGAAAAAAAAAAAAAATCCTCAAAAATATTAGCGTAATATCTGCATTATTACCTTTGCCAAGAAGGTTATGTTTTAGTCTAGTTTGTGTCTTTATTCGTCTGTTCGTCCATTAGTTTGTGTTCAATTTTTTTTTTTTACCAAAGGTGCACCTCAGTCCAAGAAACAATCCATTAAACTTTGGTGATGATCCGCATCATAATCAGCGTGCAGGAATTTTTAAAGGGATAATTTAACATTATTTGGCGAAACAAACAGTTCCCCTCTAAACGAGAGAGTGGCAGCAGTGGCTATTGACAGCTACAGCATTGTACTCAAAAAAGTCCAGATGTATTTTACTGAAGACAAAAAGAGAGGAAGGTGAGCCAAGCCTCTCTCGTTGTTTTGATCTGCTAATTAAAGAAGAAAGCAGAGCGGTGGTGAGAGCAGAACAAACACCACAGGCTGCAGACACATACTGTGCCTTACTTATGAACTTATAAAAGGATTTAAGGAAATTTTTAACCAGGGGTATCCCTCATGCTAAGGAATGGTTCATTCAAATTTGGTAATGATCCAGATTGTGTGTGAGTTTTAGCTATACTGTAGCTGTATGTTACAATATGGGGCTAAATTTGCTGCTTGGCAGAGGTCTGCGCTCTCCGACTGCTTCTAGTAAGAAATTGTTTTATCAAAATGAATGGACACCTGAAGGTATGCAATGATGCCTGCAGAGGCTGAGTCAGAGTAGAGCTAACAAAAGAATAGTCATTAATAGACATGGAGGCGAAATATATCTCCATTCTCCTGATATGAAAAGAGGAAAACAAAACAGCTCCTGGGGGAACTCATTATACAATTTTAAGAAAATTAAACTAAAAACATTTTTCAGTTCAAGACATCTAAGTCTTTGAGAGAGATCAGATGATTAAATCTATCCTAACTTGATCATATCTGTTTATCAAATTGTTCTGCAAGTGCTCTGAAAAATGTCTACATGCTGAAATCCTTCATCTCCCTTCCCCCTGCCCTGTATACCAGATCATGTGCAGGGACTCTGAGGTGCCATCAAGACAGTCATGAGATACTATCTCTACTGCAAATCCTGGATCTGCCCCAAAGCCTCCTCTCAGCATGACATGTCTACAAAAAATCTGGTTAGGAAGGTGACCAGATGGTCAAACCCCCTTAAACAGTGGGAGCTTTTTACACATAGCTAAGGTACAAACCCTTTTTGACATAAAAAAATAAATAAATAAATAAAATAAATCTTCTCACATTTGGAAACCCTTGGGTTTGTGTTTAAATTGTTAAATTTAAAATTAGCTAATGGTTCATCTTACATAACAGCCTCTCTCAAATCTCAAACCTTTTATTTTTTTCTCTCAGGCAGCTGGGCTGGATATGATGATTGAAAGGGGATTGGAGCAATGAGTGCAACTGGAAAACTGATGATTAACCAGTCAGCACCAAAAGCAAGGCTAACTCCAGTGTGAAGCAGTTGTCAAGCTAGGTGATTTGTTTGTCAGTTTAATTAATGCTTAAACCAACTTCCTACTGTAAAGAATTTTTCATGCCCTTCCTCAAATTGTTCATTATGTTTCCAGCCACCTGCTTATAATGTCAATGCAACTCATAGCATAAGCCACTGATAGCTTGACACAAGGTAATTATATTCTTAAAAACTTTACTGATTGTAATAATTTTATGTTGTGCCCATAAAGGATGTGAAATAGCTCAGTCAGAATCCGTGCAGCTGTTTTCTATACACCTCAGTTCAATCTTCTTAATCATAGATGATCTGCTTGTACGGTAGGTGACATAAAAGCCTCCTCTAAAAATGTCTTTCAGACAAGCCCATCAAAGTACCTGCACTCATCTAGGATCTTAAAGGCTTAGAAAAGCCTTCAGGATACATATTTCAGCAAGACCATCTGAGGAGAGAGGCTGCGTAAAAGATGCAAGCAAACATGAGTTTTGGGGGCAGAACCTGCTAAGACCTCCTGGAATGTGGCGTCAACCCCATGCCTAACCCCTGTCTACCTGCCACACAGAAGACCCCTGGAGTTGATCTGCGACTGATAGCTGCTCTAATGAAAAAAAGGCAAGAAAACAAAAAGATTAGAGGAAAGGCTCGGAGCGATAGAGGACAAACATGTCAGACTGGAATCCACAGACAGATAAAAATCACAGCACTGGAAGGTAACACAGCTAAAACACAAGGAGATGTTAGATTTAACAAAAAATAATAATTAAATAATTTGGGACTAAAACAGTAATCATTGATAATTATATATTTACCAATTCAATATCAAAATATTTAGCTTTGTCGCAATGTAACTTTTGAATTTCCAATACCATACCAATACTGCAGCTTTAAATGCAGACCAGTATGAATATTGATCTGATATAATATCAGCGCCAATCAAACATTCTTTTACTACCGGTACTTATATTGTAGTGTGGAATGTTAAAAACAGTTTGATCAAGTAAGATTACTCAGAGAACAATAGTCCACAATAATGTGTATGAGAATAGTTGAGCCATGTATTGTTAATCTATGGGTAACATGAACTTCAAACAAAATCGGTTTTGGATATCGCTGTTGAAGATAAGGATGGTTTTACATGAGTAGCTGCTTTACTGTAACTGTTCCCTCACTTATAAAAGTCAACAAAAACACATTCTCATCTTCCTATATGTAGTGAGGACCATGTGTTGACTCCCATAGATTTTTTTTTTTTCCATTTCCAACCCTTTCTATGCCCTAACCCCAACAATCCTAACTAAATATCCTAACTTTACGACAACCGGTCTTCAGTTTGATGGTGAAATAGAAAAAAAAAAAATAGTTCTTTCAGGTACACACTTTAATAAAATTAAACAATCAATGTTCTCTTTTCTTAAGGAATAACTGAGAATAATGCATCCCTTTTTATTGCAGGGAAACAGATTATAATTTGCTGCAAAAATAGAACTAAACATAATTTTTGTTAAGGCAAGATAACTGTTAAAATGTTCTCTTAAAGATTTACACACGCAAATGCACTTCACTTTCCCCAACTCCCGATGTAGCTGTCCTATGACTGTCCCGGAGATAATTGGAAGTGCCAAAACTCTTAATTCTTAACAAGAATCCAAAAATGTTTACCTTCTTTTAAACTGCATAACTCATAATGTTCTTTAAAAGCAATCCTCAACAGGTAACATATTAATGTAGTGTTAATCAGTAACACAGACCAGCTGCTGAAAAGCAATAAGAAAAAGCAACACTAGCTTTTCTGCATGATAGAGAAAACATTAGGCCTCCCAAGCTTAAATAATAAAAAATATAATGGGCGGAATAAAGAGTAAAAAGTTTGATGAAATTTTAAAGAAAACTTAGAATATCTATTTTGCTTTTGGTACTATAGAAATCTCCACTTAGTACAGAAAGATCATGTCCAGTTCCAATCTCTGTTTGTCACTATCCTGGGTGATTGTAATGCAAAAACAACTGATAAAGCATCCTTCAGATTTATAAATTTCATGAATTTTAAGAGTCCTTCAACGAAGCTTCTATTCAGTGTAGAAGTATTCAGAAGGATTTTGGTAAGAATTTAACTACGGTATATGTTTTATGTTTCATAGTAAAGGTGATCAAATAATTTAATGTATAGTAGAGACTTGCTAATGAAGCTAAACTATGCTGACAACTGAAACGTAACTGAACAGTTATACCACATTAAAAGTATAGCATTTTACATTTCTGTCCATACCTAGCTATGACACGTTTACTGTACTTTAAATGTAAATTTAATAGGGAAGCTAACAAATGGGTTATGTTGGTAAAACTCCAGATGTTTAGAAAGTGGAAGCAGATTATATTTTGATGAACAAATTTATTAAGAAGGCATAATTATTTACCTATTTTCTTCCTTCTACCCCCATTTAAGAGCATCCCACTCTTCTGTCTGTATAGAGAGGTCAGGATTCTAAAGTAGGGCGCACAATAAGAACTGATTGTATGATCCTAAAGAAAACTCCCAGGCCTTCTGGTCCCTGCTACATGAGTGTCTTAACTCTTCTGTCTTTCTTCTTTTTGAATAGAAGATCCTGTTGCCAAAGGCAGAAACTCTGTGACATTATGTCTACTGCATTTCAATTCATTCAGCAATATTACTTGCTGCAGGGCAAGCACTCATCACCCAACATTAAAAAGGATGCTGTGAGTGTGTGTGGTTATTTCTTGAGCTACTCATACCATGCTTTATTTAAGAAACGCAATTTGTCATAGTAGTTCACTTTGACCTTGGGCGTATTTTTAAGCAAAGCAAGGCCTAGAAGTCCAAAGCGAGACACTCACAAGGCATCCAGGACAAAAATTTGAACCAACTTCACCAACTCATTCTGATGAAGAGCGACTGCATCAAAGGGAGTCAGAAAGGAGGATGACAGCTTCTCAACTTTTCTCTGTGGCCACAGTTAGGAGGAGACTAATCTTAATCGTTTTGAAGATATCTTCTTTTGATCATGATCCAGCATTACATAAATTGGCGGATAAATATAGAGTTTTGATTTTTGGCTCAGGTCTTTCCTCACCACAACAAACCAGAGAAGCTCCACCATTACTGCTCACAAGCCCTCAGTTTATCCATTCATATCTCGCTTAGTCATAGTATTATTCATGAACAAGACGCCAAGATATTAAAACGCCTCTGCTTGGAACAAATGTACCCGAGATCACAATCTCCAATGGCTCTAACCTGAGTTAAAGAATCAGTCACTTAAAAAAAATACATTAGAATAAAGACTTGAAATCGTTTAAAAGCTGCAAAACTGATCACCATTAAAATAAAGGTAGAAAACACTGATCGTCAAAGTCAAACTTCAAACTTAATTACCTGGCATCCTCTTCTCTCGATCTCGTTGATGCACTTCCATATGATCAGTGGCACCAACAGCCCAGTGTTTTCCCTCTCCACGACCCGCCACGCCTCCACTCCAAACACCTGTGGCTCCCTGTCTCCATCTGGTCCACCGTCCAACGAGTTCTGCCACTGTTCCAACAAGTTCAGCTTGACGTAGATCAGCCCGCGTGGCTCAAGCTTCACTGCCAGCTGATGTGTACGTGTTACTCTGAAGAGCGCAGGCAGGACCACCGTGCCATGGCAGCAGACACGGTTCCTTTTGGGCGTGGGTTCCCAACTGAACACCACAAGCTTCAGGTGCTGGGCGTTCTCCAACTCAATGTTAAAGGTGTGATCCATATCCAGGAAGGATGTTCGACAAGTGAGAAGAGCAGTTCGTGCTTTATTAACGGAGTCAACCTGAATTGCACAGTAAACATCACGGGAGTCAATGCGTGGAGGTTTGAGGTCCTCAGCACCGTAAAAATGGAGACTCATCAGTCCAGAGATATACTGGCTGCACTTGGGCTGATCTGTGAAGCTGTAATGACGGAAAGCATCAATGTCCAGCTCTGTGCCATTTAGTCTAGAACTTCCTCCCTCCGTCTCTTTGCTTTTCCCACCCTTCCCCTCAGCAGATCCGTGTTTACCAGATTTGGCAACCAGCTCTGGTGAGTCACCATCACTCAGGTAGCCTCCTTTGCTAGCTGACTTTGAGCTGCCATTAGTTTTCTTCTTGTTAAAGCTTTGCAGCGTTGAAACGCTGCTGTCTAGGTGATATCGGGAGATTACATTACGGCTCGCCTGCCCGCCTCCGGATGGAACCAACCGAGGAGGGCCTGAAGTCTGAGAGACCGCGTCAGATCCACTGCCGTTGACCCGGGGAGAATGTGATCTTGGCTCTGCCTGATTGTTTCCACTGCTACTTGCACTGTTATTTTGGGTCCCTTTTACACTGAGTTTTCGACTAAGTTCGGGGAGCTTCTTCATCTTCATGGAAATCTTTCTGACTGTACGCGGGGACTTGATCTTGTCTGGGAAAGACCAGTTGATGGAGCTGCTCTTCTTGGTTGGGTTTGGGCTGGATGGAGGTGAGAAGCTAACAGCATTGGGCAGGTCAAGTCCATCTAAAATGGAAAAAACAGAGCAAAGGAAATCCAAATTAAATACATGATTAGCTATTCCACGCTTTTCTCCACATAATTCAGATTAGCAATGTATAAAGACCAAATCAACAAATTGGCACCACCATATCCTAGTTTCCCAAATCAGCATGACCTCTGCTTTCTCTATAGAATGTACCTTTTACCTGTGATTACAAGTAATTACACAATGTCTAGAGGAGAGACGGAAATAAGACATAAAACCAAAAGAAAGATACGTAGGACCCATAAATTACAGTCTCTTAGGAAGGTGGTACACCTTTATGGCATATCATCATATGATTAGACTTACATGCAGCCCAGTAATCCACTGGTAAACACAATCTCTGTGTTTACTGTATAGTACCGTTCTAGTCTCCATATATAAACCCAAGACTCTATAAGAAAATAATCAACTAAAAAGGAAAAGACTAAATGAAACAACATATTTTTTTTAGGTCTATTTGTTAAAAAGACAAAGATATTAACTCGTGTCCCATATCTGTGGAATTAAATTGTGACAACAGACGATCAGTTGTACAACCATTTCTAAAAACTAGTCTACACAATATAAATAAAATGTTACAGGAATGTCATTAAAATTAGATTCAATTATTATTCAAAACGATCATGTGTTTGCCTTAAGCAATCTATGGCTAAAAACTCTCCATATAAAAAAATTGATTTAAATTTTTATTATATTCTTTATAAAATATTATATATACAGTAGATAAGTAAAAAGTTATTTTTGTTTACTCGTTTTAATTCACCGATTTGGAAAGCAGTTTTCAAATTTGTGTTTTTGTGCAATACGCCTTATGGTTACTTGTAGACAAGATGTACATGCTGAACAAAAATTACAGCCTGGAAAAGGTTCCTCCTGATTTCAAATGGCCAGGAACTGGGAATACATTTCTTATTTTGGATTAGCCATGTTTATGAAAAAAAAAAAAATGATGTAATTTAGAAAGTGAGAAATGTTCTGCCAACATCTTCAGCTCTAGTTTGGAGGAGGCCTGCTGTGCTATTCTAGGGTGCTGGCCTGAGGAGTGAAAATACAGAGGTGTAACAGGATGTAGAGAGGGTAAGATGTGGAGAAGGAGTGGGACAGGGAGTAGCCCTGCAGATCAGGGACAAAGGAACCCCTTGTCCAGGCACTCAGAGGTCTGGAGGGTCGACTGCAAGGCTGGCAAGTTGGCTGGTAAACGTACAAATGAAAACAGCTTTTCTCTCAGATTCCTCATCAAACCGCCTTTCAGATAGATGGAGTGGTCTAAGTCTGCCATAGCGCCATGTCAGACATCCAGACAAAAGAGGCTCTGAGAATAAAGAATATAGGCAGAGGGCCCTGAAGGAGCTAATTTACCAAACAACATCAAGGGAAGGGGTGCAGTACAGAATTAAAGTCAAGGACAAAACAAGGCTTGTTCCTCAGTTAAAACTTGTTAGACAGACCAAAGTGTGAAAGTGAAAAACCCATTGGGGCACGCTCTCCACAGAACACAATTTTGGTCCTCCTCCTTGATTTACATCATACATGGAAAGTTGCTAACATGAGCTCAACTTGCTACCACTAAACTCGTCTCTGTTCTACCAAAATGGGCAATTCCAACAATCAGTGGCTGACCTGCAGTGAGTCAGCAAATATTGATACTTGTGTAACTTATCATCTATTGTGTAAAAGAGTGGGAAAATAAACCATGGCAAGATGCTAACACCACGTCCACACAAAGTTACATACACACAAGTCCAATTTTTGTGTGTAGCCTTGCATGAAGAAAAAAAACGGGGTATAAAGGACCTCTAATAATAATAATAATTTAACTTTATTGATCTCACACTGAAGAAATTTGCCTCTGCATTTAATCCAACCCCTTTGGGAGCAGTGGGCTGCCATTGTGCAGCACTCGGGGAGCGGGGGGGTTAAGGGTTTTGCTCAGGAACCCAAAATGAAGGCTGTGGGGATCGAACCGCGTACTTGCAACCTTCTCAGAGCACAAGCGCACTGCTCTAACCACTAGGCCAACACTCCCACAGATATAACCCCTGCAGGAGATTCTCGTCATTCAGTCAGCATAAGTTTAGTGCATATATCAGTCTGTTAGGAACTCCAGGATAGCTTAAACATAAATTTAAAGACACTTTCAGAGAGATTGTATATGTAAACTACCATCTGATGAGTAATTTTACATATTTCTACCGCTTTATGCCCTTTATAAATATTAATGTAGTGTGTAGCAAAACTTATGTGATTTAATTCAGTTTACTAAGAGACAATTAAGTGATCAGCATTGTCAATAAGCTGGGTACTCAGGCTGTTACATTTTTATGCCATGATACTAGTTTGAAAATCTTTCCAAAAGAAACTCCCAGGACAACTACTTAAAGAAAATTACATAAACAAATGAACCATATAGCAAAAGTATGCAGGATATAAGGATTTTAGCTGTGAACACACACACTTTTAAAAGCTGGGTCCTTTTTAGCCTTTGGACCTGTGGTGGCAGCCAGCAGAGTAATGTAACACGTACAAGCTGCGGTTCAGGGGTGATGATTTGACACTCAACCCTCAAGGGCTATGTTCTAGGGTCAAAAGGCCATGAGGTCCACATTCCTCTAGGTGTCACCTAAGCCATGTAACTCTATCCACCCAGCATTTTTACATGCACTTGCAGTCCCTACATTACTGTAACACAAAGAGAGAGTGCATATAGGCACAAAAAAACAGCAGACTGCAGCCCCTTGACCCTGCCACCCCCTCAGGCAGCCGGCCGCTGACAACCTTAAACAAAGGCAAGGAATTTATTACCCTAATATTTCACCACGCTAGCATTAAACAGGTGCAGGGTGAGGGCGTGCAGGTGATTTACAAACTTATCATTTGTTTTTCTGTTATTCTATTAGGAAACAAATTGCCCCTGCAGCCTACACCAAGAACGCTGGATGACCCAAGCTGTCCTTTGATTAAACATGTGCAGAGAAGACGATGAAAATGAGCCTCAGTAAAAACGGATAAGCATTGGAGGGAAGAAATACTCTGCTGCTGTTGATCGCCTCTATAAAAACACCCATATTTACTTGTGTGTCTGTTTTATAAAAACAAAAAAGCCAGAAGTGTATGTTAAATCTAAAACAGAAAAAGAGGCAATGGTGTGTGCAGACAAACATGGCAAGTGTAAATAAGGTTTGAATGACTTGTCTTGTAGTTCCTTTTCTCCAGGCCTGAGCTGCCTCCTTTTGACTTTGCTTTACATATTTCGGTTCTGGACGGTCTTTCAGGAGCTGCAGAAGCCCGGCTCTTGTTCTGGAATAGTTATGAAACGCCTGCTCATATAACCAAGCATGCAGACATCCCTGCTAGAACAACATGGCCTGCTGTCAAAGCAAAACTTATGTGATGTAATTCTTGTACTACTGCAGAAATTTAAGCCCTGTTGTAACCCGACAGACAACGTGGTGCTAATTCTGGTCAACACGTGACTACAGTGTAACAGTCCTTGGTAGGTGATAAACATTTGCGATATAATAATAAATTGTACACAAGCCCACATTTTATTACTTCCTCAATACATTAAATGAATATTCCGGCCAGTAATTTATCTAAATATTTTTTCTTGTGTTAAATCAATAGCAATTGGGCAAGAAATCAAATGGATGAAAATATTGAAGACAATCTGGAAAAAACTTTCTGAAACAGTTTGAAGAGCTAAGCAGTTCAACTATGCAAAGGTCTCCAACAAAGATAAAATATGCACAGCAAGTGATTCAAGAGCAGCAAAATGAACAAAGTATCTAGAAATTTTATTTTTAACCATCTTTAGCATTTGATAATAGAGGTTAATAAGGGAAGAATAAATCGATCTCTAGAACCTGATCATATTCAGAACAGAGTGTAGATAATTGTTTTACCTTTAGGACTCTAAAAAGATAGCCTTTATTTCTAGGTTTCCCCTTTCTTTTTTTTTCTTAGATATAGAGATAGACTGACCGATACATATATATCTATCTATGTCTATATATAGATAGATATCTTTGAATCATCTTGTTCCATAAATGAGTTGGTTTCTTGGTGTATCTCTAGGAAATATGATAAAAAAGAGGTATATCTTATTAACACCTTGTTTTTAGAATACCTTTGAAAAAACAATTCCATGAAATAGGTTGAATATTCGAGTGTGATAAAGAACATATTATCTTTTTCAATGAAGTGAAGGATGTCATTTACCCTCTTTTATTGATAAAAATATCCAGGCAGTACAATAATAAGATAATTAATCTGAAGGGGGTATTTCTGGCTTTGTCCTGATTATTACAATTTTAAAACATTATGTTTGAACTTTTTTTCAGCAACTCTGGCGATGAAATGATGTCTTGAAACCATGCAGTGAGAAAGCTATGTGACCTGAACTTCCCTTTTAACGTTGAGTCAATTAATCTGTTCTTGTTTTCTGTCTCCAGACCAAAACCACACAATTATGAGTCAAGATTAGCTTTCCAAGACTGAACTCTGAAGTATGAACTCTCTGTCTATAACTTAATCAACCAAGGCCAAGTCACTAACACTACAGCAAGTGAGACCAAAACAACCCCAGAAATAACTCTGGTCCATTTTTGAGTGCGGGCCAAGTCAGATTCCCTCAAATGGGCTCAAAAGAGAACAAGCGATTGGAAACACAACAGTGAGTTCACCCACCCCCAGAGTCCATCAATCATTATCGTCCACACAAACAAAGCATTCAGATGGACAAAAAGTCACTCAATAGGCAGCACACAAGGAGTCTGTAGTGTATCCGGTGGTGGAAAAAGAAGCAGCCAACCAGACAGAGAGCCATCTAAATCTATACAGCTTCATTAATTCAGGAAACCCCACTATTCATACTCAAGAAATGAAAGAGGCATGTCAATTTTCTGCTCATATGGATGAAAATGGATCCTTTTATGGAGCATATTTCCATGATTAACCAGAAACAGAAAACCAAGAAATAAACAGGAATTCTTGGAATTCAATGATTTTAGCTTAAGTCAACAGCTTTGACTCTTTTATACTAAAACTGTGATCATATTTAACTGATCAACAAATAAAGTACATTGGCTCCAGTAGCATAGTATGAAAGCTTTAAGATATTACATCAATACCTCTGCATCCTAGGCTGTTAGTAAGAAACATAAGACTTATGGGCTAGGTTAGTTATAGGAATCTGTTTAAATAAGTGTGTCGGAGCCGGATGGCGAGTCTGCTATGTCAAAGCAAGCCAATCCGTCTGTTCAGGGGCAGTAGGGGTGATGTTTTATTTGCCTGGGGCAGCAGCTGCTGTGTACTCAGAGGAGGGTGAAGGAAAAAAAGAAGATGCTCTCTTTAGCCAGAACTGGAGCAGAAGATGGAGCTCCATCTGGCTTTTGGTCTCATGTAAGAGTCTGATGGGCAAAACTACGTCTTAAGAAAATATCCAAATGGTTTGAGGCTGAGAAAGATTGTGGGATTTGACACTTCTGATCTCATGTACCGTTGACTGCATTAGGAGGAGAGTTTACTGAATCATCAACATCAGTTTATGAGCTACGAAAGCAAAAGAAAGACTTTACTTTATTGGACAAATTAGTCATAATTGTGTTTTCTTTCCAAATTGCGTTTGAAAATGTGCTAAAGCTCTCATTCTTTTCATCACGAGATGAGATATTAAGATCTCATAGCAGGCTGCTGTTGTATTCACCGCTGCCATGTGGCTAGCATCCCCCAGCAGTTAAAAGAGGAGGAGTGTCCCTCTGCAGTCAATACAAACTCTGTTAACAGTGACCACAATCCCCAAAGTAAACTCTGAAGGTTGAGGCCATATATAACAGAAGACCAAGGAACACAGTGAGCCAAAAAGAAGCTTCTGTGTCCTCGCAGCAAGTTGTGAGGATTGTTGACGACACGCGGCAGCACACGCCGCTCGGTTTCTGTTAAGGCAAAGTGAGGGATGGCGTCACCGAACCCGCTGGAATCAACTGCAAAGTCAACATGCAGCCGGCAGTTCCGGAGTAGGAGGGAACAGTGGGGGGGAAAAGAAAACAACGCTGCTACTCGTTGCTCTCATTTTCACAGCAACAAGTAAAACCACACCAGCACAGAGCTACCACTGATGGCTGCTGAAAAACACAATATTTACTACAAGGAATAAATTTAGCACAGGTTTCTGAATGGTAGTGGCGTATACAGTCATAACCTTATAATTCAGATCTCTCAAGCATATTCACATTTTCAAACCGAGCAACCAAAATATTAATTTGACTACTGCACTGTACATGAACTGGAAGCAAAGCAATACCTGGTCTTTAAATAAGGGCAGTAGTAGTATCTCCACTTATGTGTAGATTAGTCTCACTCTAGCAGTTGTTCAGCTAAGATCTCAGAGGTTTGATGGAGAACAATAAGGCCAATTTATACTTTTGATGCATAGCCTCTGCAACCATCAAATCTGTATCTGTGTGCAACAACGCCCCCCGTGCAGAAGCTCTGCAACCATCGTCGCACACCTCAAAAAAATCCTGACTACAAGTTAGACGGTTGCAATCCCACGCAGACCTCAAGCTGAAGTGTGCAGACAAAAAGCAGCTGTTATTGGTCCTTGGTATGTCTTCCGGCTGTCTGTGTGGTCGTCCTTCTCAATTCGGTGCGAGGGCGCGCCATTTTTTTAAAACCGAGAAGTAATAACAATAATGGATTACCACAACGAAAGGTTGATCGAGGAAGTTTGGAAGTACAACTACTTGAACGATGCCTCAGACATGTTGTTTTGGAAAATAAACACTTCCGCCAGCATGGCCGAAGAAGTTCTCCTGACCATCCGCGGTAGTTCTCATGACTTCTCTCGCGCTTTGGCGGGAAACTGCTGTGCGTCCCTAGAAATTCCAGACCGACGTTGCAGAAGCATACCAGCAAAACTGGTTCTTGGCCAGACCCAAACGACATTTGATGTGTGCTGTTGAAGTATAATCCGCTTTGAGTCAACCACCACCTAATTCAGACCAAGCAACCTAGTAGATAAGACAAGGATAAAGTATCAGAGCACAGTTAGTATTGAAAAACATATTCTAAGCTTTAAATATCTCACAGTTACCTTCCAATCCATAAACCAAAAAAAAGAAATAGAAATAATTGAAAGCATGTACCTCAACTGAAACCTCTAAGACCTGTGCGATCCACATGACAGGCCTGCCAATGAGGCAATTATCAGAGGGGCAGCAATTATTTTCTCTCATTTTATGGAATAGTGGCAAGAAAGAAGTTATGAGCCATAAGCAGTAGTACTTAAAGGTTTTTAAAAGCCATGTAGCGGACATGAATACATAACGGATGAGGTTCTGGTCCGATGAACCTAAAATTGAAGATTTGACTTACATTCGAAAGACTGTGAAACAAAAACAATCCACAGCACATAAAGCTGAACATATTATACCAATGGTGAGACAAGAAAGTGGTAGTATCATGCTGAGGTCGTACTTTTCTTCAGAGGGGAAATGGAAGCTTGTTAGCTCAATACAAGAAGTCTAGGAATAAAAAGCTAAGACTGGGACAGTCTAACCTAGCAGGGCAAAAACCTTAACCCTATAGAGCCACAACAGAATGGTTAAGATCAATGAAACCTGAGCTTTTCTGAAATGAAGAATGGTGATAGTAGCCATTAGTTATTGGATAATCTGTGAATAACCTGCATCTGGGATTGATGTAAAAAGCAGTTCTAGTAACATTGGCCCAGGTGAGATGAATACAAATGCACAAGAGGTTTTAATCATTTTACTTTGGAACATTGAAAACAATCACAACAACCATCTGTCCTTAATAGGAGATTTTTAGCTGAATTCGAATCAGGTGCTAGAGGTATCAGGTATAGAGTATTTATAGACAAAGGTCTCTGCACTTCAGCTGTACAGGCATAGATACCATAAAGACATTCTCATGTTTCCTGTATTTTAACTTCTACTAATAAACATAGTTTAAGGTAGTAAGAAAAACTAAACCTTCCGTTAATTAAAAGGCTGTCTATCAGAGTAGAGGAATTAACCAATTAACATTCATGTTCTCGCTGAAGCTAGCTAAAAGAGCAACATCCCCAAAAAAAAGGTAAAGGTTAAAGCAATATAAACTTCTTGAAACTATACACTCACACACATATATATATATATATATATATATATATGTATGTATAGTTTCAAGAAGTTTAAGGTCTAAGTGACAGATTTCTCCCACAAAGAACAAAAACCACTGTCACTGTGTTCAGTTCAAGCCATCAAATTGTCACTGTGAGAAATAAGAGCCCAGCCACGAGCCAAACTATTCATGCTGCCTTATTGTTCGTACAACTGTAATAGCTGTTGCGTGCCACAGAGAAGTTTTGTAATTATAGGCTCAGATGAAGATGTGCCAAATAGTTCAAACTACCATGTTTCCGCATCACAGAAGAAAAAAAAGTTAGAAGTCTGTCAAAAAAAAAAAAAAAAAAGATAGAAAAGGACAGGGCCTAATGATAGATGGGGAGCCGTGTGCTGGCTGTCATCATTCTGTCGTCGCTTTCAGGTGAACAAGTAAATAAGGAGCAAAGAAAGTGAAGGAGAAGCGCAATGATTCATGTTGGTTTATTTAGAAACCAACTTTTTTTGTTCATGAATGACAAAATTCAGAAGATCATACATCGATTTGTAAACTTGTTTTGAAGTAAGAGGATTCATTCTGCTTAGGAATGTCAGTGCTGAATTCCTCCTGTCTGATGTCTGTCTGAGCTGAACTAATGTGGGACACTGATACGGGAGGATATGATTAGACAGCGCTTGACTCCTGTCGGCTCTGATAAAGAAGAACATAACAAGAATAAGACAGTTTGTCTGTTTGGATAATCTATTGAGCTTTACTTATTAGGCTTTATACAGATAACACGCTTTCATAACTTTGGGGGTTTTAACTTATTTGTAGACTTCTCTTAAAACAGCTAGTTGCTAAATATTTAATAGCTTAAGATCTGACTTTTTGAAGAGCAAAAGAGTACGTTTCTTGATTAGGATCTTCGTCAACGTTGGCTATAATTATAGCAAAGTGTGCGTATAACCACAAATATCTCCCAGGTGATTGACAAAGCTAAAAAAGTAATTGGCCCTCAAGCATCATCTCAATAAAATAAATGAAAAAGCATGAATGACTAAGTCGACATAAAGCGAGAACCAATAAAGTGTTTTTCTTTGGTCTTACCTGTTGGTCTGCTGGTGCAGCCCCCCCCCTCCTCTGGATGCTTGCACGCAAGCATCTGTCTGTGCAGATGCATGGCCTCCGTGGAATGTGCAGCATTCCCCTGATTCAACTCTCCAGAACCACTACCAGGACCTTCCACGAATGCATCCAGTCCACTAGAGCTCTCCACAGTCCAGCCAACATGAGCCAAATCTCCTCCTATGCCAGGCCTCCTCTGCACTTCGCCTCGAGGAGGGACGACCAGCCGTATGCAAGGCCGCCGGGAAAGTTCTGGTTCTTCATCCTCTGGGATTGGGTTGTACCAAATCTCCCCCTCATCATCTGCATCGTTTTCTTCGGATGGGTCTACACTCCGAGGATGGGGAGACACCTTAGACTGACCAACAACCACCTAAAAACAAGAAAGACGGAAATGTTAATCTACAAAATTAATATGTTACTTAAGGATACATAAACATAAGAGGAACTTGCAAACCCCAATGAAATACAGTTTGACACACATTTTCTGTCACTTTTGTCTCATAACTTGACAGGCCAACACAAAGAAATGCCTAATCATGAAATGGAAGGAAAATGATACAAGTTCTCTGTGTTTAACAAACAAAACCCTGAAAACCTGTAAAGCAGTATTCGTTGACTCTAGCTCTGGTGGCATTTAGGTGCTTTGAGTTATTTGCAGTTTATAACCAGTTTTTCCCAGGGCTGCTTCACTTTAGCTCCATCTATCACCCATCAAATCTAACCTACATCTCTTTGTCTTCCAATAAAAATTATTTTAACAGCATAATTCAGCTACAGCTATCGAATTGTAGCGATGGTTTGTTCAGCATAATGTACAATGTTGGTCTAAAGATTCAGTCATGATCTCATCTGAACCGACCATCTTCATCTACATGACTATGGTGTTCCTTCTACCTGCATCTAAATGAGATCACCCACACTGTTGATTTCTAAAGGCACTTGGCTATAGTACATTTAATTCCATGTATCAGAGTAAAGGGGCTGAATATACTCTTAATGAATGCCACACTTTTCTCTTTTTCATAGTTATTTCACAAAGGTATTTTGACAAACATGTACCAGAAGTTCCTGGGGTAAACCCATGACGTGGGGTATTTCTGCCTGGATTTTAAATGTTGTCCCCATTGGTTCCCTCCAGGTACTTTGGCTTCCTCTTATAGTCCAAAAACACCATTTCTAGGTTAACTGGGGGCTATAAATTGCTCTTAGGTTGGAGTGTGTGTATGTGGTTGCATCTCTCTGTGTTATCCAGCAGTGGACTGGTGACCTGTCCAGGGTGTGCCCCACCCTTCCTCCATAGGCTGCTGGAGATAGGCACCTAACCCTCACGGACCAGCAATAGAAAATGGGCAGATAGATGTATAATTTTCCTTTGCCTTTAAAATACGTTACTTCACTGTTTTCTGTTTGTCCATCATCTAAGGTCCTGACAAATTACTTTTGGTGAATGGTCAGAGGACCCCAAAGCTCCTCAGACATTCAATTAATTACCCATTCACATGCTAATGGTGGAAAACTGTACTGTAGCCACATCTACACTGGGGCAGATGAACAGAATCAGGACTGGCACACAATCAGCCCAACGGGGTCCTCTGACCATAAACAGCAGGCAAAGCCCAAGGTCTTTAGAACAGATGAGGTGGAGGCATTACTGATGAACCACCACTTCACCCCCTACACCCTGAGCCAACGTCACCCAACTACATTAAACTTTGAGGTAACATGAGAAAATACAAAGACATACTCTATTGAACTCGTTTCTATTCTTTAACATTTGCTAAACAAACAGACTAATTTTATGCAAAGTTATTGTATGAAGATACTAACCTGAGGGATCAGGAGATGTACTGGCCGTGGCGATGCTCCAACTGTGGATCTTACGTCTGGCAGAGGAATGGGGCTAGGAGAAAGCTGATGGGAGCCCTGGCTGCCTTCCTCAGCTCCCACAATCCCTTGCAGCTCATCCCTGGTGCAGTGACTTTTTGGCTGAGAGCTCTGCTGCAGCCAGTTGCGCTTTTTGGACACGGTGATGGTGGTGGTGAGCTGTGGGCTCCATGATGAAGGCTCGTTGGGCAGTCTGCCTGCCTCTCTTCCCGTTACACATGGGGTGTGGAAATTCTCAATGAAAGCTGAGAGAGTGGAGGACACAAAGGAAGACAGCGAGAGTCACTGCTTCATGCCAGAAGATAGTAACAGGATTTGGCTGGGATAAGAAAAGCAACTTATCATCATCTGGATTAGTATCATTTCACTAATTACTGATGGGAACTGAATTAGAGAAGTGAATTCTTAATCTCAAACTATTCAAGTCAAGACAGGCTGAGAGAAACATTTGCATCAAGAAACCACAAGTGTGAAAATATTTAACAATGCCAGCTGGTTTTGCACATCTGCATTGCTGAATTTCCTACTTTTTTTCCTGGGAATTGAAGATAAGCCAAAAATAGTTTTAAAAAAACCACCACAGATCAGATTTAGTGGTTTTATGATATCTTCTGATGGACTACAATCTTTTACCAAAAGTCACTTCCCCCCATTTCCATTTGTCCTTCTAAAGTTACCTTTATGAGGGTCTGCTTTGGCAATATGTACACCCACAATTCCAAGCAGAGATTGGAGACCAAATGGATAAAAAAGGACATAAAAATTACATTACAGAAAGAAAAACAAGGATGACTTATTAAGTGTAGGCGGCTGACATATGTCGAAGAATCAAATGATAGATATGTGACTTGTATAACTGCATTTAATGTTTATATATCAAGAAAACCTCCTTTATAATTAGACCATACTATGAGATATGAATAATATGCAACGATTTATCACAGTCTGAGAAAGAGAAAAAAACCCAACTATGTTCAAAAGTGTGACAAGAAAGCATAGTGCTGAGGGAGGCCAGGGTCCTGCTCCAACTTGTAGAGCAGGCTCAAATAAAAGGCTGTTTTGATCCCCTCCAGCTCTCAGACGAGCCCCTCCAACATGCTTTAATGCCAGCTTCTACTTCTCTAGAATTTTTCACACATGCCTGACTCGCAGAGCAAATCTAGCATACGATCCATCATAGAATACAATTAACAGCACCAATTTAGGGGGAAATCAAATTGGTTTTCAGGTACGGTACTTTTAATCAGATAATTGAATATCTACTAAGTTTATAGACCAAGAAAACATTTAACAGCAAAAACATGATTTTAGGGAGTCTCAGTGCTGCTTTCGATGTGGCTAATCATAACAGTCTTAAATAAACTTTAAATATAGATGCAGATATACATTATTCTCCATAGATTTAGTTAAGAATTTGTTTGGTCAACCAGGCTTACATTGTGTTATACAGCAGTTAAAGGTCTGAGTGACCAAAACCATGTTGGGGAATTTCTCAAGGCTCCATTCTCAGGTAGGCTGGATTCAATATATAAATATTCCCTCTCAATTAGAATAGGTAGGATCAAAATATCTGACAACTTGTATGCTGACAACATAACCTTATATTTCTTTATGACTTGATAACTAGGGGTGTCCCGGTATAACATTTTCATTTCCAATTCAATGCCCATATTGCAGCTTTGAGAATTGTCCGATACCAATATTGACCTGATATGCTATTATTATAATCTTACCAGCTTTAATTACTTATTTTATTCTGTAGAATGTTATAAAAGGCTTCATGAAGAATTATAACTAAAACAGGGAACAAAAGTAATCATCAAAATGTATGAAAAATCTGACCCACTAAAAAATGAATTATAGAAACTGTTAGTAAAAACAGAGTGTTTATATTTGCATGAAAATATTTGAGGTTGTAGATGATATCCAATTTAATCTGATATTAGTTTTTTTTTTTGTGGCTAATATCAGATCGGGACATCCATATAGATAACCACAGTCCATTAGTCACCAAGTCCTTTTTTTCATAATGTAAATGAGTCCATTGGTCATAATTTTCACCATCTTAACTCATAAAGGTCAGGAACAGATTTAAACATGGAAAGGTAGCTTTTTAAAAAAATTTTTTTATGTATTTTTTAGTTAAATATTTTTTAAGCATTTCCCCAATATAGAATGGCAAAATTGTACTATTGATAAAGTGAATTTGTTTTCTATTGTTCCTATATTTTATTTTCTAATGCCTTCCTTATTCATGGTACAAAAAAAAATCTGCCATGCCTTGCCTACAGTCTACAAGGCTCTCATAGCAGCCTCTCTGAGATCTACAGCTTTATAAAGCAACCATTGTCCCATAAATATTCAGTGAAATTTCTTGCACCAGAACAAAAGGAGTTAATCTTCCCTGAAATAGAGCTAGAATAGTAGGCGGGAATGAACTAATCAAAGATAGGGATTAAACTTCCTTGCACTCCACCTTTTAGTAGATTTTAGTTCATTTCCTTTCTGAATCCGCTTTGGCTGGACAATAAAATCCTAATCTTTAAAGTGCCTATGCCTCTTCTTTTGCTTGATTATCTGAATACAAACACAGACAGAACCTTTCATTTATGTACAGCAGACTTCCATTCGTATCATGTTTTTATATGTTTGCAAAGTCTCAATTAGAGATGTATGAGGGCCGGTGTTTGGGTAAATTTAGACTTGGAGAGTCATTTCAGGTGGTTCACTGAGTTCAATGCAGGACTGTGTGGGCTTGAGCACCCTGTGCTCATCTATGCCACGATTTTATCTGTTCCAGTAAGGCTGCGTTTCAGGTAGCCTTTTTAGTTTATGTAGAAAATTCATCCAAGTAGTAAACGCATATAATGCATTGTTGTGACAGATGATGGATTTAAGATAATTATCATAAATTTTGCTTTGAATTCCTTAAAAAAAGGTGTTAAAAACCTCAAGCTTCTATGCCATAATTACTCATTTGCAATAATAAACCCACTTTTTAACCAAGGAAAAAAAAAATTTAAGGCAGCTATGGTTTTAGGCTGTGTAAAGACACATAATCAAGAAATTAAGCTAAGAAAGATACCTTTTATTTTTTTCCACGCAAAAAGAAAAATAAAACCATATAAAGGATTTGTAAAGAAAAAAAAAAGCGGAATAATAACTGAGCCTCTCCAAAACAACTGACCTTGCCGCCTACACAGGGAGCTGTTGTCGAGAAGCTGTCTTCTTCAAGGGGTCTTTCATAACTGGAAAAGGAAGCATGTTCTGACAAGAACAACATTCCAGACCACAGCTCCAGATTTAAATCTTTTCTGCCATCTCCTTTTACCATCACGCTCCTTCACAGGAGCAACAACTTCCAAAACAAACAATGGGCCGGACAAATTAGACCCAATTTGTAAAAAAAAAAAAAAAAAAGAAAAAAAGAAAACTTTCAAATATTAACTTCTGTCAAATATTAGACAATTTATAGACCTTATTTACCTGTCAGGCTTTCAATAAAACCTGACTAAAAATTATTCTAAAAATTTTGAATTTTATCTCTATCAAACGAAACTAAACATCAAGACAGGGTGATTAGAAGTGAAAAATTAATAGACAGGAATGACAAGAAACAAAGCAGGGAGATAATTAGAAAGGTGACAGGAAAGCTAATTTAGAAATCTAATTAATAGGTTTTTAAGGAAAACAATGCAAACCAACAAAGAGTCAAGAAACAAGTTTAATTCCCTTTAAACCACATTTACAGTATTTAGGCCACTATTTCAATATTAAACAGACTCAAAAAGCAAAAGATTAAATCTGGACTAAAACACATTACTGTCTATTTAGAGGACGGAGCTGAATTAAAGAACAAGGAAGAAAAAGTCGCCTTGTGACAGTGTAAGAAAAGGGGCAAAAACCTGCAATGTTAACCACTAAACAAAATCATCCCATACACTTGACTTAGAATAGATTTTATCTACAGCGAAACATGTTAAAGGCCCTTTTCAGCTTCTTTGCAATCCGTGCAGAGGGAACCCTGACGGACCCCCGACCTCAAGGTAACAGATGGCCAAACCCCACAGTACATGACTGCGTCTTTGTCAGAAAACCAAAAGAAAAGAGAAAAATGAGGCGGTTCACAGATGGGGAGGAGTGTTATGGTTTGCAAAATTACCAGGAAAAAAGCTCCAAGTACCAATGCAGATCTGCATGGTGTGAGCCGCAGAATGAACCCAATTATATTCACCTCTAAACTTTGTGAGTGGCTGGATCTTTTGCTCATAAAGACAAAGCTCTTGATCCACTTTCCCATAGGCTTGTAATTTTGTTCCTGTTTTCCCCTTTTGGTTAAAAAGGCCTTTCTTTTGATAGGAGCAAAACACACACCAGCTCATTTTCTCTTCCATACAGACACAACTTTGTTGTAAGTACTTGGTTTGTGAGCTCCTATTTAGAGGGAATCTTTAGCGGGGTGCCATGCATTCCTGTTGACACTCATTCATATGCTAATCATGATTCTCAGTGTAGATTTTTCTTTTTACACAAGGACAGAGCTGAGATCACTCAGGGTTACATCACATGTCAACACTTGCATCCTACTGAGGCATACTGACGGCGTTGATAACACTTCCTCCTCCATATGCTGGCTGAAGAGGCCAATTTTTTTCCCTCCATCTCTCAGTTCTTTCAGTGTTTCTTTTTTTGTGTTGATCAAAATCAAATTTTTAGGGCAAACAGAGATGGCTTAATTAGCTAAATAGCTACAATAACCGTTAGAAAGAAGCCTTGAAGCCCATTAAAGGCAATAAAGTAGCATTCTCCCCACTCCTTGGAGCAGACGCCATCATGACTAACACATCTCATAAAACCATATCGGCATGATCCATTATGCCTCAAGTTTCTCCTCTCTCATCTTATCTGTGTTTGGAGCTTGCAACTTCAATAAATCTGTCAAAGCTCATACATGCTATAACACAGGATAGTGTTTGCACCTCCCTTCTTAGCTGTGACATGTGTTTCTATCTGAAAAAAGTTTCTTGAAAAGAAAATATAGATATACTTAGGAGTGAGTATCATATTCTTTAACATATACTCTACAGTGCTCTGTTAGACTGACATCTAGAAACTGAGACCACTGCCAAGATCATGAACCACATGGGTATTATCTCAACAAACATGACCAGCAACTAAGCTTTAGAAGCCAAACCAGAGTGATACAAAGCAGATTGGACCCAATTCTTTTATGTTGTTTCCAACCAGTTCCCATCATCATCAGATTAGCTTCCTGTGCAGAGTTTTCTAGATCCGATCTAAAAAAAGGGGTTGATAGAAATTCACCATCTTTGTTTACGAATGCAAAGAATTTTCTAATTTTACATAAAATACACTCCAAAGATTGGAACAGGTGCGTACATGAACGCCAATCGGAATGGCAATCGGCCAAAAAAAACAACCCCTTTTTTTCGGAATTAAATTTCTTTCCGATCAGACCAAATTGGATTAGAAGCTTCTGTTTGACATGTCTACATGAAACCTTAGTTACAATTACATAGACACAAATGATCAGATTAAAAACCTGATCAGAGAAAAACTGATTCAAGTAAACATGTCAGACTGAAGAGTCTTATCCTATTCAGTCCGACATGAATAGTGTGAATAGGATCGGATAGGTAATTGCTGAACGCTGTTCCGATTGGTGTCCATGTACATACCCATTCCAATCTTTGGAGTGAAGCAATCTCCACTATGCATGTGTCTTACCTCAGCGTGATGTTTCTCTCTTTATTAAAGCCAGGCATACACTGTGAGTGCGATACTTTCAATCATTGCACGCAGCTAATGCCCAAACTGTACAGCCGATTCAATTCCATTCAATTTATTTATATAGCGCCAATTCACAACACGTCACCTCAAGGCATTTTACAATTCACTAGATTATATAGTCAAATTGTTCTCACACTGTGCGACCGACTCTCTGATGCAATCATACGACTGCCAACTGAATTTCATTTTCTCCCGACTTTACGATTCCTGATCGGAAGGTGGTCGTGAGAGGTTAATCGCCCCTCGTTACCCCCTGTACACTACATGATGCATGAGGAGGCTGAAAATCGGCTAAATCGAAAAATTCTCACACGACTGGAGAATGTGCCTGAAAAAGAGAAAAAAAATAAATAAATCACAGTGTATGCCCGCCTTAACCTTCATTCAGTGTCTACTCGTCCTCTTTGGTAAAGGAGGCACTAAAGATAACGTGCAGATGAACATGCCATCCTGACCTCTACCCCGTAGATAAAATGACCACCAAAAATAAAAAATATGGATACAAAGATGCAATGAAGGTCCATAATGGTAAAGTCTACATCAACAGATACGACTGAAGATAAATAAAAGGGGCAGGCACATAGAGTAGCTAAAGTTTGGGATAAGCGGACAAGTAGAGGTTTGTTTACAAAACAGGCCAATTATTTGTGTCCATGTAAACAGAGTTATTGTTGAAACTGGAGTTAAAACTAGTCAGACAAGGGCACGTGTTTTCAGTAGGAAAAAATAAAATAAAAAGGGTAAGCCTCAATTTCCTGTTCTTTGCTTCTGTAGCCCATCTGCTTTAAGATTTAATGTGTTGTACATTTAGAGAAGGTTTCATGAATGCCATGGATATATAAGGAGTTTATGTGAGACAGAGGATGACTTGTTAGCACCTTAAATAAGTCAGCCCACTTTCCTCTCACCGCTGTAATCAACAAGGTGTTTTTGTCCACACATCTGTCCCTTTCTGCAGATTTTCTCATTCCTGGGCACTTTTAATAAAAACATATAGGAAGGTCTGTGTCAAAGACTTAACTCTAAGTTGAAATGCATTTTAATTTCAATGCTTTAAAATTCTGATGCTCGGTTCCAATTTAAACAAGTTGTTTTTAAATACATCCAGCGCCTTAAATCCATTCAGTTGCTACCTTGTAACCGGCGGCTTCCCTATTGGTGGAAATATGAGGCAAGGTCATCTAAAATTAGCCGAAAAAACAAAATTCAAGATAACGTTTGGATTTTTTTAACAATGTTTCCCCCCGATAGTAGCTACAGTAATCTATTGTATTTTTCAAGGTTTATCTACTTTTGTTATAGATAAAAACATGACATTCCATAAAATCCACATCTTGAAGCAGATGCATCTTGGCAGGAAATCAGCACAGAGTTCAGGATGTTGCTAGTTTAGAACAGTTCAAAACATCCTTTCCACATTCAAGGATTTCCTCAAATTATCGACAACATGTCATGTCAGGTCTTGTGTGTATATGGTGGTTTTCACTTTGGAAAAAGGATACAGATTTTTTTTTTTTTTTTTGGTTTTGTTTCTAGTTTTTACACTGGCTACACTCCAACTGGGATGTTTCCAGTTCAGGTAAATTGTACATCCCTGTATTTAGTTTGTTATATCATTGTCCAGTTTAACTCTATTTTCCATTTTGCAAGGCCAGACAGACAACCTTACCCTTCTTGTTTATAAAGTTCATTTAAATTACTATAAAGGCAGCTTGGTTCTTATCGTTCTAACTTATAAAAGTTAGAACATTCTTTTAAATATTTCACTCATAGTACAGCAAACAAACACCATTGTCAACTTTGTTTGAGACTTTATATTGTATTTACCAAATGCATGACTCATTACCCAATCCCTGCTGAAGCATGACACCTGGGTCATGCCCGCCTACCAGCATGCTCTCCTCTCCACCACGCCGAAACAAAATAAGAAATCTTTTGACTTTAAACAAAACATCCACAAACATTTTCTTATGCCCTTCAGAAAGTGTTGACATTAGTCCATGAATAAAGTGCATAAGGTCAAACTGCATTGTGATTTCTAAAGACTTCACTTCGAGGTCTCATTTCCAAATATCATTCATGAAACTCCAGGTTTGCAATATTAGACAAAATAAGCTAGAATAAAATAGGCATCCATAAAAGGAAATGCCTCAGAAAAGGGGTTTAAGAGAGCAATGAGGAATTTAAGGCTTTTTTTTTTGCTCAAACGTTCTTTCTGAGGTATTAATAGCTCCTCATTTGCAAGAGAGGTCAAGCAATGACCGTAATAAACACTTAATCGACCTTCATTTTGTTCAGTCATGGTGAGGAATTAGGTGACACAACTCAAACAAGTTAAACAACAGGAATGGCATCTGAAAAATTCCACCCAAAGTCTCTTTAAAGGCAAGCTACCATTGGGCTGTCAAGAGCAAATGACTGGGGAGGAAGGCGACATGACAGCACAACCCCCTCTTCCCTCAAACAAATCACCCACCAGGCCGACAGCAGAAAAATACTGCAATGGCTTCTCTCCCGCTTTGGATTCCTCTGGCCACAGCTGTGGAAAAGCTCAGCCGAGACAGGGATAAAATGGAAAGTGGAGGAAATAAATGAGGAAAAAATGAGAGCAAACACTGAGAGTTGCATGGAAACTAATAAATACCAAGTTTGGTACTGATTTTAACTCTACAATGGTCAAGAAAGGAGCTGTTATACGGTGGCAGTATGTTAAAAGGAGAAACCTAAATAATATCATTTGTGGTTTCCTGATACAGATGTTTTCAAGTTTTTCATAAAAAATTAGCTCACAATCAAACATTAAAATCAGATGACGATCAATAGAAAACACACAAAGACACAAACATTACCCAACCACCAACACCACAGACATCAATCTAACAGAAGAGTAAGTTAGTAGTTACTGGATCTATGTTGTCAGTATTTTGTCCGACAATCTTGTGTGTAATTAAAATGTTAAAATGTTGCTAAATTAGTGTGAAAGGCAAAGCCCGCCACCAGTTACAGATCCCCTAAAAAGGAAAGCAAGAGGTCTGAGGTGTCTCGTCCCTTTGCTTTGCATCCAGAATTGAAGGAGTGAAGGGTGGACCGCCACCAGGCGAAGTCTACTATGAGGTGGAGGAGGATGACAACAATCAGACGGGAGGAAAAACGGTAGAGGATTCCCGCTGGAGATGAGGCCACCCTGTGTAGCCTTCCTACCTGGCTGCTGAAGCTGGCTTGTTGACTTGATTGTAGACGATTTAACCTTGACTGATTTATTCCCTCGGACCTGGACGCCTTGTTTGCAGCCTCCGTGGTTAACCTTAAGGGAGGACCAATCCAGGTTCTGACCTCCACCTAGAGGTAAAGATGAACCCTCGATGCGCTGTTTCATCTCTGATGAAAGCAGACGACCCTTGTGCATCCACTCTTGCATCTTGTTCACGGTAACGCCATGGCCTTTCCTGACTGATCGGACCACCTGAGCCCGGACCTCAGCCAGCTCCCGTCTGCTCTCCTGACCCCGATGGATTCCTGGTTCACTGTTGCTGTCTGTAGAACCTGTGAGGCTGTTGACCGAGCCGCTGCTCTCGTTCAGCTGCCCCCCGTAGTCCTCCTCACCTGCGGCCTTTTGCAATAGTTCCTCGCTGCTGACTGCACGGCAAGGCTCCTTAGGCTCAGACGTCTCACCTGCTTTTAAGGCATCAGTCCCTCCATGCTCTTTTGACTCCAAAGCTTCTTTTACACGAGCCTCTACACTTTCCTGTCTGCTTACTTGGTTACAACATGAGGATACAGGATACCTGATAATGTCATCACTGGCAGATCGCTGCAATGTGGGTCTTATGGTCAGTGACAATCTGGACAGGCTCTTACTGATCAGCCTTGCCTTTGAATCCAGCTTTCCAGTGAGGCAGAGCAGAAGTGATTCGGTGTCAGAAAGCTGCTGAGAACTGTGGTTCCCTCCTGAGGACCAGGAGTCACTGTCTGTATTTTTAACAGACAGCCTGGAGCACAGACTGTCTCTTGAATGACTACTACAGGAAGAAATGGCCTGCTGCTCAGTTGAGCCACCATTAATCTGATGAACATCCAAACTGATATCATTCATAGCATTAATGAGAAGATAATAGGCTTCCTGCAGCTGTGTTCTAAGTCTGTCTGTTTCCTGGGTGATCTCACCATCATCTACCTGCAGCTCTGTGGCCTCCACCCTATCATCAGTTTTTGGTTTAACTGTCTCATAAAAGGGCAGAATTTCATTATCGTAATAATCTTCATCTTCACTGTCTAAAGGGTAGCCCAGTGGCCCCTCTGTGGTGCAAAGAGATTGGATTTTAAAGTCACACATTTGTAAGTCAGTAGGGAAAACAGTTGGGCTCAGAGGGCATCCTGATGTCTCTCCATTGAGCCGCTCACATCCAGACTCATAACTCTCAATGCTTCTAATTAAAACATTTTCTTCTGAGTTTGGATGCACGCAACTTTGCGTGTACGCCTCCAAAGCGGGGCTGTCAACATTCCAGGTGTTATTTGCGTGGATTGCTACTACAGTCCCTGCCATGTGCCGGGAGTGTCCCCTGCTCTTGATCTCTGGCCCCTCACCACCTGCAACCCAAGCCACAGCCGCTCTAACGAACCCTGCGCGTGCGCCTACCTGCGCGCGGTGTGACGCGTGACCGGAGCTGTCCCCGAACCCGATAGAATCCCCGACGCTGCACTGCCTCTGCGCACAGACGAAGCGCTTTATCTGCACATGTGGTCCTTTGAGTGAAATCCCCGCAGATGCGGGCTCCCAGAGGCTGCTTTCCTCCCCCCCGGACCCCTCCCCAGCAAACTGCGTGTCTCTTTGAAGTGGGGCTCCTAGGAGCCGCTCATTAACGTGAACCCTGCCCCCGCTGCTCTGATCCTGGGGACGTGAGCCAGCGGCTGCGCAAATCGGGACTGTTGTGAACCCCTCAGTTTGCACCAGCGCTCCTTCAACATGATTCTCATATGTACTCATTCTCTCTGTGGTGGAATCCAAAACTACCGGGCGGATCTCCTCAGGGAAAACTTTTTCTTTACCTTCAGGGCCACCATGCGCCGCAGCAGCAGATCCGTATCCACCGCTGAGCGTCGCTCCTTTTTTGGACTTCTTCCCCCGTAGTTTTGCTAGTAAAGTCCTCCGCAGAGGATCAGCCATTCCTTTCCTCTGCCACCCCCCTCCCCCCTCCAGCTAATTCCTCCCGGTGTCTCTCAGCAGACTGGCCTTAGAAGCGAAGGGCCGGGCGGGTTGTCCTCGGTCAGAGCTCGCCGAGCGGACGCGCTGCTCTCCATTCTCCGCTGTCAGCTCCGCTCTGCAGGCCACTCAGACACTCAGGACTCTACTTTGCTCAACTGCACCACCTCTCTCTCCTCTGCTGAACACACACATCTCTCCTCCCTCCTCTCTAGAGCCTCGCCTCTCTGGGTTTGTAGCTCAGATGTTTCAAATATTTTCTTGTTTCAAAGTTCATTGATTTTATACGGAAGAGGATTAAGGCCACTGAAAAGAAAAAAAAAAACGTTAATTGATTTTTAAATTTTATGTCAGAATTCCGACCTTAATCTGAGAAAAAAGTCAGAATTCTGAGTCAGAATTCTGAGATTAGTCAGAATGCTGAGAAAAAGGTCAGAATTCTGACTTTTTTTCTCAGAATTGTGGGATTAAAGTCATAATTTCGAGAAAAAGTCAGAATTCTGAGCCATAACTCTGAGAAAAAAGTCAGAATTCCGACTCAGAATTCGGATTTTGTTTCCCCTCATAATTCAGGGATTAAAGTCATAATTCTGAGAAAAAAGTCAAAATTTTGAGTCAGAATTTTGAGATTAAAATCAAATTTTTTGACTTTTTTTCCTCAGAATTCTGAGTTTAATCTCAAAATTTTTAATTTAAACTCAGAATTCTGACTTTAATCTCAGAATTTTGGATCTTAATATAGATGGGTACCATGAAGGAAGAGATGTGGGAGAACTCAGCTTCACTGACAAAGAATGGCGCAATTAGGTGACTTTTTAAGTGCTCGAGGATGCTCAAAGTGATGGTATTTCGTTAATGGAAGAGCAGAAGGTGATTAAACTAAACTAGAGCTAGTTTAGTCTTTAAAACAGACATGGCTACGGCTTGATGGTAACAGGTTTGTTAGCTATCAGAATTCTGAGAAAAAAGTCAGAATTCTGAGATTAAAGTAAAGTAAGGGATCGCTGATAGTGATATCAATACATGATACAATACTTTTTATATTTAAGCTTACTGTATCAGATAAACTGATTACATTTCAGTATTTTGGGGATTACTACTTTATTATTACAGATGAACAATGGAAAATTAGCATAACAGGTTCAAAGAAACTTAATTAAATGTATAGTGGAGGATTTTTTCGAATTTCTTGAAAAGACCTACCCTGTCAACTTAAAAAAAAAACGCACCTGCACAACCCTGCACCCAACGTTTATCTAACGCGTACGAGAGCGTGCACAAGCACGTTTCTCCTAGAGCACGCTCTGTTTAAAAGTTGCTTTTTGTATCACTCATACAAACTTACTTTCCAAAAGAAGGTTTGCTATTTTTCCACTATGTCACACTCACTACCGTTAAGTGAAAATGGGGACGAGCACGTTGGACAGCCCTACTTAAACATATCACCACTATACCTTTAAGCAATTTAATAAAACAAAGTTAGCACACCAACACAAATATTGATTGTTTAGCTGGCGCCTCTGAGCCAAGCAGAGCAGCAAAGCACTGTGAAAAAAGGCGCATTTCTGCTTTTAATGCACATTTTAAAGTATCGCATCAGAAAGGCTGATGGAAACACAAATTGTTAATAAAATCACATAAAATTACAAAAAAGTTTTGCACTCGTTTGGGGTGGTTTATGGCTTTTGCAGAAAAGGGTTGATGCACAAACTGGAAAATGGAAACACTTTTTTCCAATTAGCTCTATAAGTCACATGACTAATCAGCTGTCTCTGCTGCGGGTTTCTTCCTGGATGTTCCTGTAATGCACATAAACATGGCTGGAAGCAGCATCACAATTTATAGCTGAATGTTTACCTAAGAAAAACTTCCCTGATCACATTATAACCATCAAAACTTTCCTTCATTATTTCATGCTAGAATGCAGCCTCTACTTCATGTTTACTACAGCCATGCTTGGTTGATTCACTTCAAACCAAACGGAAACAGATATATTTGATATATTACCAGATATATTAACAGATTCACATTTTGTTTATTTCAAACTGAAATTTGAACTTCAGTTAGAGGGAAACAGCTACTGATATGGCTCTCTCCCCAGGGTGGCAGAGCCCCAAGGTGCAGGATACACACTAAAAAAACAATTTTATTCTATATATCTATACTTTCTTCTTTAAAGTCATGTTTTACCTACACCTCAACAATAGCTCTGTTATACATTTACTTGTCTTGTTAGATTAGGCACCACCCATAAAATGTAAGGATTAAGTACTATAAAAATATGGGGCCACACACAGACTAAACAAAAAGGCTGACGCTGGTGTCTGATTCATAGCATCAAGGTTAGTGAAGAATTAAAGGACCAGTTCATAGTTATTGAATCAGATCAAACCTAATTAATTAAAATAGTATTATTAGTAATATAAGAAGGTACTTTCTAATTTCCCCTGTCAAAGATATTTTTATTCACAAGGGGACTTTTACAGCTTTCTTATAAATCTCTGTCTATATGGATATTATTTCCACATATAAAAGTTACATATTAGTTTTTTTCCCCTATATATCTGTTCAGTTTTGCTTATGTTTAGCCTTAGTCTTTTACTGTCAGCCACCATCATCAGTTTCATTCAATCACACATGCTTAATATTTACATACTGCTCAGGTTTCTTTACACCCTATGATCTTCTCTGCATTGCTAATAGTTGATTGTAGTCTGGTCCAACTCTCTTGTCTGACTGCCAACCAGCACAGAAATAAGTTTGCATAAGACAGGTTAAATAATGCCTGTATATTGGATCCCAACTCTGGTCCTCAAGAACCCCTCTCCTGCATTTTTAGATAAGCATCTGTTCCAAAATACCCGATTCAAATGATTAAATGACTTCAGCATGCATTAAGTGCTGGAAATGAATCAATTATTCATATAAGTCAGTTGCAGGCAGCAAGGAGACACCTAAAACATGTAGGATGGGTAATTGGAGCAGAGTTGGGAACCACTAGAGAAGACCAGCAGGTTTCAGGTTGTACTGCATAGTCTCTGTTGGATTGTGTCCAGCTCAGGTTTCAAGAAAGGGTGGTTCCAAGGAATCAGAAGGGACAGTAGATATGGTATTGTGTGCATATGAGTATACATAACGACATATTATTGTTATGCAACCATGGTGAAACTTTGGAGAGACACTGGCTCAGTGTGCACATATAATATGCAGACACAATTAAGAACATACAAGGAAATTTCCATATAATCTGTAAAACTCCCTGCATAATTATAATAAAACAATTTATATGCATGAAAAATGCGGAACACTATGGCAATAGCCCTACTGGTTCACTTGTGAAAGTAAAATCTTTTGGGCTCTTTTTGGAATTAAGACAATTATTCTTATTGCCACATTGCCAGACAGGACACTGTTAAAAAAAAAAAAAAAAGAAAGAAACAGGAAATATCAGCATCCATAGGGGAGACACGACCGAAATGTAAAAAAAAAAGGTATAAAGTATCAACACCCATTTTAACTCTTTAAAGATGGATAAATGTTCCAAAAGATGGATTAATGTTCTTTAAAGATGGATTAATGTTCCAAAGGGTAAAACATAAAATAAAAATGAAAAAGGAACATCCATCACTTTCATCATTGTTATTACTGTTATCCTTATAAAAGTAGCCAAGACCTCATTCATGCTTCTGGCACTAAATTCCTGTTTTTTTGTTGCTTGTTTGTTTGTTGTTTAAGAAACAACTCACATCTAGTTCAAATTAGAAAAGAA